ACAAAGAGAAAGAGAGAGAAAGGGGGGAGAAAGTTTATTGCTAACTTTGATCTTGTGCCTGTGGAGCTGACGTTTGAATCTGCTGTGGCTGGTTCGAAGGAGAAGATAAATTTTGGTGGTACTCTTGTGTGGGGGTCTGAGCAAGAGAGAGAGAAGAAGGGGCAGCGGACTGAGGCTGTACCAGCATAGCCATGCCAGAGGGTTGGGGGGTTTGAATGGAAGGGAGGGACGGTGGGACTTGGAAAGGATCTACGACTGGTGAACTGGTGGTCTGATGGGTATTAATGTCCTGATAGGACATTTTAGCCCATAAGAGTAATGGTTGTTAGGAAGTCTAAGAGAGAGAGAGGGGGGGAGAGAGAGAGAAGTGGGGGGAGGTCATTTTGGCAGTGTTGAAAATACATTTATAAGAGCAAAATATTGATTGCTTAGACTAATAATGCTCATGCCAAGGCTGAAATCAGGAACCCCTTTCCTGTTACAGTCATAATTCCCTCCCCTAGCAGCAGCCAAAATACTAATAATACTAAAAACAGATTCAGAAGATCCCTCATAAATTACATCAAAAAGGGACATTGTGAATTATTACATAACAGATAGAGGGGAGGGTAGGCACTGAGAGTACATGTACACATACATATACACATCTCAAGGCACTAAAATAGCTCTGCATGCATAAAACCATGTGACCTCATGTTCTATAAACGGGAGAGGGGGATGAGGAGGGCGGGAAGCTTAAGGGGTACAAAAACACAGAACCGTCCTCCCCCCTAAGGTTACACTATCATTACAGTTTGCAAAAAAAAGCACATGAGACAGATTGGTGTGACCTTCCAAATGTTTTTATTGACTAATGATAGGTGGGTAGAAGAGACATATGTATTTATATAAAAGTGATAAAGACACATCCCGGCCATCTAAAAATACACGCACACACGAGGACAGCCTTGAGGCTCTGGTTTGACCTTTTCCTACTAAATTTGCTTTTCCTCAATTGCTTGATCTCTTCTTGCTTCTTTCTCTCTCCTTTCCTCTTTCCCTCACTCTCTCTTTTCAAAAATAAACTCATACAAGTTTTCTTACTCTCAATGTCACAGATAACCTGCTCGAGTCTTCTATCTTCTTCCAGCTAGCTTCCAAGAATGACTGAAGCCTAGAAATAAAAAAGGGGTCACGTTGTCAATACAAAAGCCCTCCATATTATATTAGCATAGCTAAAGACCTTTTAATTACATACCTTAGAGAGCTATGGCGGGGTTTTTATAAAGAAAGCCCGGCTATAATGTAATGGTACGAGAAAGTAGCAAGGACAATTCAACAGAAAACCACCACCCTCGCGCCCTGGGCGCCTTAATCTGACACTATTCTGGGATATTACAGGGGGAGGGAGGAGAGATACTCTATATATATGTAGCAAGAGCACAAGAAGAATGGTAGGAGGAGTAGCTGATCCTTTTAAAAAATATAAATGATGTAATTCGCGGCGTGCTCGAATGCGGTAAATGGGTGGGGCTAGCTTGCACCGCATGCGGACCACGTTTTTGCAGACAAAATGCTACCAGCAAAAAGGACTGTCACTCTTCTGGGGGTTATCGAGAGGCGCTAAACTAACAGGTGCGTGGGATATGATGTCCATGTTTCTATTTTCAATTTGTTTTGACCTCTAGTGTTATCTAAACAATAGCTATCCTTTGCTTTTGCACGCTGTATATTGCTTATTGAGAAATGGTAGTTTATTCTGGAACGATTAGTTGTTTATATAAACTAGAAACAACAGAATTGACTGGACTTCCAGGAGGAGCACGCTGCATGTCCTTACAAGGAGTTGCATTAACTTGCACCTGTGAAAACACTTAAAGTTGACTCAAAGTTCAGATGGGCGTGTCACTGATAATTGTTATTAGCAGTGGAGCTGGAGGGTGGGGCTCGCTATTCTGCAACAGCAAGCAACACTATGGAGCCTCTTTCACGTTTGAATATCTTCCTTCTGCATATCTCTCTCCTGATAGTAGGAAATGCAATAAATGAAGCTTCAGCACAGCAGGTATTTGTATAATAAAATGCTTCCAATGCTTCATTTTTTCCTCATCTTTTTTCCTTATAGTGTGGTCCACCTAATTTAGTGTCTGCTACTCCTCAATACAATGCAACAGCATCTAGTGATCCACTTGTTATGAAGTAAGTAAACTTTATGTGAAATTATATTATTTATTTTACTACTTTTACAAGTTGTATGGGTGCTACTCTGCCTGCTATTTTCAAGTGGGAATTCAATGGTAACATTGTTCCTTCTGCCGTCGAATTGTAAGTTTTATACCTATACATACATGTATGTATAAACCATACATAGCCTTTATGTGGTCCAGTCAGTGATGGAGGGTGGAGTTTATAGGTGTGGCTACGACAACATTAATTGTCTTGGTGGGACAATATGGTCTACTGGATTTATCACAGTTATAAGTAACTATCAACATCAGCTACATTATTTTTATTATCTATTCAGCTCAACCTGTTATATCAGTAAGCACTGGACCAGTTAGTGTGATGCAAGGAGATACAGTGACAGTCCATTGCAATGTCACTAGTGGTTATCCTGCTCCTTCAATCACTGTTAGTATAATATTATTATTATTATTATTATTGTATAGCTAGAAAATTTGGTGTGGAATAGGAATTTGACAAATTAAGGTCTGCATACTAATATCTTAGGCCTGGTTTACACGACGACGCTAGCCTAATCTGCATCATTTTTGCTATTACTGTTTTCAGGTGTTTACACTAATCCAGTAGCTGCGTTTTCATTGGACTTTATCATTTGTTTATAGACTTATCCGTTTTGGTATTCGTTTTTCTTTTGTTCGGATTTGATATGCGTTTTCTTGTGTTTTAGTGTAAACGAGACCCTTATCCGACTAAAAATATATCCGTTTTACTTTAAAACGTAGTCGTGTAAACCAGGCCTTAGTCTTCAATTTGATAGCCAGCAATAGAAATTTTAACAATTTAAACTCCAAAATTTCTAACTATAAGTGTATTTTATTATATTAACTGCCACTGTGTATTGCAAATTCCAATGGATTCTTTCTTTTCTTTCAGTGGTACAATGGCTCTGGTGATAGTTTGGGGCATGTTTCACCATTGACAGTGACAGCTGGATCTAACGATACTCTAACTTGCATAGCAACCAACACAGCTGGTTATGCTTCAGGGAACATTCCAATCACTGTCACTAGTAAGTTTTTTATTAGTAGTATGGTTCATTTAACCTTAGCAGTACTAATCTTATTAATTTTCATTAATCATAGTTGAATAGTTCTACATAAGTTGTGCAGTGCATTAATTTTAGCAGTATTTGTCCTGCATTATAGCTGATGAATACTGGATTAAATGATGTTTTTTCCTCATTTTATTAGTTATTCCTCAAACATTGTCGTCTTCTATTCAATCTTCAACTGTTGCTACTTCTTCTTCCAGCAGTCCTCCATCAACTACAGCCATCAGCTCCAGTATTAGTAGCAATAGTAGCATTCCTGCCAGTAGCAGCAGCCAAACCAGTTCTACTACAATAGGTAAAAGGCTATACTGGGTGTGGCTCATTAAAAGCTAATAATTAATTGGGTGGGTGTGGTTAATAGTTTTTAACCCACAAAATGGTGGCTGAGAAGTATTTTTTTGATTAATTTTAATAAATAATTTTTTCTGCTAAAAGACAAACCTATTCAACCTTTTTCATCTCATTTTTGAGAAAATGTGATGTGTTAAATTTTTTATTTTAGTTCCTACTTCTACGTCAACTTCTCTCTACCATTCGTCTTCATTTTCCTCTTCCTCCTTGACGACCAGTATCCCCTCCATAGCAACCAGTGTACCGACGCCTACCAGTACTGTGGAGGAAAGCTCCGGTGGCTTAACAACGGACAGTATTTTTGGTCTCATCGTAACAATAGTCTTTCTTATTTTTCTTTTAGCTTCACTTTCATTCTTTTTTGCGTACGTTATATTTTAATTAAATTTTGTTTATTTTATTGTTGTGGTTGTTGTTTATAGTGTTGGAGTTTATTATTGCAAGATTGCTCGGACCAACAAAAAAATCAGAAAAGAAAAGAAGAAAAGAGAAGATTCTCGTAAACTATTAAATTTACAAGAAGATATTGATGGCGAAGATGAAGAGACAATGGCCGCCGTTGCAGGCGGAGTCCCTCCATCAACTTCGTACATTAACGGAGGTTTCAAGGAGGAGGGGGACGAGGAAGAGAAAGAAGAGGACGAGGAGGAAGAAAGTGATGATAGTTCACTGATGAATGTTGCTATTATACCTAAAGTAACCATTGAAGGACAACGAGTAATTGATTATTATTATTATTATTATTATTATTATTATTGTTGTTGTTGTTGTTGTTGTTGTTTATTTTTGCTTAAATTTTATTTTATATAGGAGGCCTCAACTACCGAGCAATATGTTATAAAAATGGAGAAAAAGACTAAAGAAGAAATACCTGCAGTGAGAATCATTATTAATTTTATTATAAAAATAAAAATAAAACCTGTCCTTAATTGCTAATATTAAATGGCATGATAGTATAATAATTACTGTATTATTTTTATTCGCAGAGTGTAGTCACGGAAACAACAGGAGCTAGTCAGGCTTCAAACGACAAAGTTCAAGTTGTTCCTGTTGAAGTTACTGCAGTCGTTGAAGAAGGCGGATCATCAGACACTAGTACTGAGGAAGAAGAAGAAGAACAAGAAGATGCTCCTGCAGCCGGAAAAAGAGATGAACCTATTGCAAGAAAGTAAGTAAACTGCCATTATTGTTAAAATTAGCATTATTATTTTTTGTAGGCCATTCCTTGAACCGCAAGAGCTCCAGGAGTTAGTGAGAAACTTTGAAAGTTTTCATTTAGAGGACAACGCTAAAGAATCCATCATTGGAAAAGAATACAAAGTAAAGTCTATTGCATTTATATGTGCATGTACACATGTGTGTATGCATTACATTATGTGCCATTGTGAATTATTCTGTGGTCAGTCTGTGTGGTTTTAGTGTGGTTTATAGTTGATGTTCCTCTCACTTTTTGTGGGTCCTGGTCGTCATGGTAATAGTGTGAGAGTGGAACACCTGCTAGTCTGTTTCTTAAGGAAACTTGAGGTTTTCTCTAATCGAATGAGCCAGACCTTTATAAGACACAGCTGGAAATGTTTACATAATTATCTAGTATTGCTATTTATCATGTACTGTGAAACAGTTTAGTGTAGCATATCTCTGTGTTTACAGTACTTCTGATTATAGTATAGTTTTTAAGTGTTTGTAATTATGAATATAAGTCAGACGTTTTTTGATAATGTGTGGGTGTATTCAGGCCTTCACACTCTCTCTCTCTCTCACTCCATAGGATATCCCAATGCTATTGCAGGACATGTCAATATGGCCGCCTGATACCTATTCAAAAAATAGATACAGAAACGTTATACCAAGTAATATTAATGTTCCTAATTCTTATGCTATATTGATTCCACTAAATTCAAGCATAATTTTTTTAAGTTACAGCCATTTTAAGAAATAGGCCAAAATCTGGAAAATACCCAAGGCTAGCCCATGCTTTTTTTCCAAAAAGCAGCTAAAAAATTAACCCCAATTTTTATTACATTTTTTGATGCATATTGATGTCCTTATGTTGTGTAGAAAGTTTGAGCTGATTCCGACTTAAATGTTTCCTGTTACATCCATTTTAAAAACGTGCCAAAATCTGAAAAATACCCAAGGATATAGCCCATGCTTTTTTGGGAAAAATGGCTTTAAAATGATTCCCAATTTTTATTACATTTTCTGATACATATTGACGTCCTTATGCTGTGTAGAAAGTTTGGGCTGATTCCGACTTAAATTTTTCGAGTTACAGCCATTTTAAGAAATAGGCCAAAATCTGGAAAATACCCAAGGCTATATATAGCCCATGCTTTTTTGGGAAAAATGGCTTAAAAATGACCCCCAATTTTTATTACATTTTCTGATACATATTGACGTCCTTATGCTGTGTAGAAAGTTTGAGCTGATTCCAACTTAAATTTTTAAAGTTACAGCCATTTTAAGAAATATGCCAAAATCTGAAAAATACCCAAGACTATAGCCCATGCTTTTTCCGAAAAATGGCTAAAAAATTACCCCCAACTTTTATTACATTTTCTAATACATATTGATGTCCTTATGCTGTGTAGAAAGTTTGAGCTGATTCCGACTTAAATTTCTTGAGTTATAACCATATTTGTAGTCACAAAGTCTTAGTACATCATCATCATTTGATTTTGATTCCTCTTATAGATAAGAACACTGCTGTCACGCTGTCAGGAGAATCCATTGCTGATCGATACATTAACGCAAACTTCATCGACGTCAGTAGTGCATTCTACCTTCTATTATTTATTTATTTTATTTATTTGCTTATTTATTTTAAATTTATTTTTGTTTATGTAGGGTTACAATGGAATGGAAAAGGCTTATATCTGTGCACAAGGTATATTAAATGTTTCTATATTTTTTGTATTGTATACATGTACATTTACGCATGCATTTTATTTACAAAAAAGTTATGCATATTTTACATACATGCATATACAATGTATATGTGTGTGTTCTTTTTCCTTATTTTCTTTAGCTCCAATATACGATACAATTCCTGATTTCTGGAGGATGATTTGGGAATGTAATGTTAACACTGTAGTCATGCTCTGCGGAATATTTGAGGGAGGAAAGGTCGATTATCTTTATTTAGATTTTATATTTTTTATTTTTTATTTAAATTCATTTTTCATTTCTTAATACCTTATAATAATTTACTTATTTTTATTATTACGTACATCACACACTTCAGTAGTTTGTGGTGAAATATTTTTGCAGACGGTTTGCAAAATTTATATTGATATTTCAAAAATTATATCGATTGGCATTTAAATGTAAAATAATTTTTGCAAGAAATATTTCACTGTGAAAGTAAATGAGTTTTTTAATTGTTTTTTTTGCTTTTTTGTAGAATAAATGTGCAAAATACTGGCCGCCTCCTGACACCAATGACACGGTAATAAGAGAAAAAGAAAGAGAGAGGGAGGGGCAATATTTTATTATTTTTTATGCTTAATAGGAATATTACGGACCGTTTACAGTGAGGAACAACTATGAAGAGGTTTTGCCTTTTTATAAAGTGGTATACCTCTCAGTATCTATCAACAGCGATGAGGTATTATAAACATTATTATTATTACCACATTAAAATTCATAAGTTAATTACTAGTTATACACTTTATAACTAGCCACACCCTTTAATTAGCTATTGCCATGGAGTCATGTGATTGTGCATTGATTACATGTAGCTGGTGTCCATTATCAAAATCCAGACAGCCACAACTTGATTAGTTATCAGGAAGTCGTTATAATCAGTATATCCCCCCTCTCCCTATCTCACCTCTCTTTCTAACCTTTCCCTCTCTCTCTCCCCCACTCAAATCACACTTTTATCATGGTTATAAAAACTATAATTTAATTCGGATTGTCACTCTATATACTCCGGACACACACATTGATCCTTGTGCATATGTATACATGGCCCATATAAGAGTATCAGTTACATTAGTCTGTGTGTGTGTGATTGGTCACATGTTGTGGTTGAACTAAACACTCCATTAGCTAAGAGCAGCTGGACCTTTTGGACCTTTTAATGTACTCACTGTTTCACTCATCCATTGGATTGGCTGTTGATATAAGTGACACTTCTATTATTGTACATTAGCAATACTGTGCTATAATATACATGTAGTTCAGCCACATAATATAGTGTAGTTTATATCTTTATAATGAGGACACCTTTATAATGAGGACTGCACCTTCAGAATAAAGTCATCTTTATAATGAAGACACCTTTATAATGAGGACATTTTTGTAATGTCCCAATTGGTACAAGCCTATACAAAAGTACCTCTGAAATGAGGACACCTCTGTATTAAGGACATAACGTGCTAATGGTGTCTTTATGTACATGTATGTTTGTTATTGTTTTTAATTCAAACCACTAGCAGCTGTGTCGGTCTCTTTGAGTCTCTTTTGTCAATAGCTCATTCTTTTGTGTGTGTAATACAATACATCAGTGCCTCCATTTTCTGCCTAACAACCAGTTCTCTTTGAAGCTTGAATGTATTCCAGCTTATTATTAATATTTATACATACATTATTATTATTATTATTAATATTCCCAGAATTGATCAATATACATATGCAATGTGTATTTATTACATAATTGTGTGGTGTAATATTTAAAGTGTTGTAATATGTTTCATTTTGTGATGATGTAATAAAGTTGAAAGAGCCGAAGCCCTCTACCTGTTCACATTATGTCACAATTAACGACAGACACCTAATGTCATTCACATATTACCGGATGATATCACTCCTCTTCCTCTAATCTTTTTCTCTATCTCTTACTGTAGGCTGAGCGTGACGTGATGTTATTTATATTTCAAGGCTGGCCTGATTTCGGTAAGTGTATCTCTCGTGGTCATTTTCTTGTGGTTTACTGTTGTTGTTCCTTAATTGGAACAGCATGCCTGCGTGGGCCCGTTTGAATACAGCCTAGTGCAAGTGATGTAACCCTATATCTCTGTTGGATTGTCCAGCTAACCTCATTAGATTCTTAGACTCTTACATGTACCCGCACACGAATGCATGTACATACAGTTATACTCATCATAAGTCATCAAGCTATGTAATAGGATGGACACACACAGGCAGAATGCGATAATTCGTGAATATTATATTATTGTATGAATGCGTATTCCGTGTATTTATGTACGTGGGCTAGTAAAAGGTGCACTTTATACGCATATTTTAAAACCACAGAATGTCCAAACATCACTCATACACTTTAATTGCATTGATTTCTGTGTGCATGTAATTATGTGTATATGATCATTATTAAATATAACGAAGATGTGTTTATGCTGTTTTGGATACTCTTCCTATTTGAATCCAATAACACTGCGGACCTCGCCTTTTCGACGAGAAGAAGGCGGTGGAATTTAGACTATGTTTGAAAATAGAGAAATTATCGTAAAAACTACATAGTGTAGTATTATGTGGGAATATGCATGTATATTTGTATATTGCTCACTCTCTGTAGCATTTAGACTTCCAATTGAGTTATAGTTGAGTGAACAGTTGTACAATAATAATAATATACTCCCTAGCATTTAATACTTTACTACATGTGTACATGTACAAGCACTGGTTAAGGCTTTCCACTCCCACATTGTGTGTTCTCCTTACTCCAAGTTTTGATAGTCATTTGTTTTATAGTTTACACAAACACTATCACCATTTACCTTTTGCACTCTCTCTCTCTACCCTCTCTCTCTCTCTCCCTCTCTCTCGCCGTGGGTCCTTCCCCATTCATACAATAATAGAATTAATAATTCAATATTATATTATTCACTGTGTGTAACTAGTGAAAAAAATTTTGTGGGAGAAAGGAAGACAAATATTGAATTTCGTTCTTATTCAGCTGTAAAGGAGAAAGGGAAGTGTTATGAAAGAATTAAAGATAGGGGAGTAAAGGTTTAGCATTCTCTGCTTGTCTAATTTTCTCTATTGGATGGATTTTGATATCTTTTGACAATAGAAAGAATCTTTGAAAAAGAGAGGGAGAGGGAAAGAGGAAGGATTAGGATTACAATCGGGTGAGAGGAGGAAAGGTTGATAATAAAGAACAAAGAAGTGTTTCGGTCACGTACCCGTTCATGTACCAAGTGGGAGAGAGAGGGGGGGTCGGGAAGAGAGAGGAAGAGAAGCAACTTGTTTGTAAACTTGAAAATTGTACGCACATGACGTAACTTCTTAATTTAAATTTGCTTAACCAATACGTGTACGTGAATCATAATAATTACATTCATGTACATGTATGTACATGTACATGTACCGCTTGAATAATTATAGTATAGTAGAGTTGGTTCATGAAAAGGTTAGGGAGTGAAGGTCAGTCTAAGAATTGACAGGGAGGGAGAGAGAGAGGGAGAGGGAGGAAGCTTAACTAAATTAAGGAAAGAGGTTGTTTGTCTCTAGCGAGGGAGAGAACAGAGAGGAAGGATCGGAGCCAGCTGGACTAGGGGTGTGGATCAGTAGTCAACTGATGAAGTGTATCGACCATTAACGTCTTGTTATTATAATCCTATATTGTCTTACTGGGGGTGAATTACGCACGTCTAGATCATCTTTTAATTTCTAATCAATTTTCAATAAATTCAAGAACAAATTGCAACAAATTACATTAATTCCTTTAAGTATATAATGTCCGTCTTAGCTGCCAATTGGACCCAAGACTGCTTCCTAAATAATACCGGGCCCCCAGCCTTAAAATATTGAGCCTGCCCCCTTAGTGGTACATCCAACCCTCTCCCCATTGTGTGTTGTATATTATTGACATGCCTACGTTCGTGTTGTTTTTACGACAAGTTAATTTTATTAAGGAATTATTCCTGTCCTTCTCCCTCCTCTGCTATTGGACAAGAATTTGTAACACGTAGATCAAATGCGAATTGTAGCATAGCAAACAAATTACACTCTTTACTGTATAAAACAACCTCCACATAAAGGACACCTCTGTATAACAGAGACACTTTCTTGCCCCAAAGTGTCCATTATATAGAGGCTAGTCTATACATATAAAGCTTCTGTACATGTACTTGTATATGTGTTTTTATCTTTGTCTTTAGGAGTTCCTGAGCAGGCTGGCCCCATTCTTGAATTTCAAGAAGCTGTTACTATTAATCACACTGGTGGTCCTCTTCTGGTTCACTGCAGGTATTGTAATCTGTGATGTAATGCTCTTGTGTCTGTAATTGTGTTTGCATGTGTGTGTCATTGTTTGGTTATTGTTACATTGTACCAAAACAACAACCTTTTGTTATTTTTGTACAATCGTCTCATTTCCTATACATGGATTGTACTCCTTATACAACTTCTGTCTCTACATATTTGTCAAGCTATCTTCCTTCTCTCTCTCTCTCTTTCTCTCTCTCTGTGTGTGTCCCTACTTGTTCCAATGTATTAATTACTTGTAAATGTCGTGTTGCTACTCTCTCCTCTCCCTCCCTCTCTCTCCTCTCCCACTCTCTCTGTTTTCCTTCTGTGGAGCATGTACATACATCAACCGCCATAATGTACACACACATAATCTCTCTTTTATGGTCATACCTAACATTTATACAAACTGGAATCATGTATCCCCATATATATATTAATACTTGTAATGCTTATTGATGGCTCCATGGCTTTATAGCCCTCTCTGTTTGTCCTATTATGACAGCTGTTAGTCCTCCCTCTTCTTTTCAAGCCTTTACAACAAGTCTCAGCTCACTGCAGCCCATTAAATGTGTCCCTTTCTCCCCCATACTCACACACACACACACACACACAACTCTCTAACTCTTTCTCTAGTGAGTTGATGCTTAATCTTATCAGATTCACTCGCTTGCTCTCTCTCATGTTTCATATGCTACTCCTCAAGGATATACTCTATGCTAGTTATCTCAATTCTCATCATTTACACCATATTGAATGACCCAAGTGTAATATGGTAATAGATAGACTGTTGGTGGTCTTCTCTTGTTTTGTATTGCATTTATAGCCTCGTGTATTACTCCACACGTATTGTACTGTTTGCTTTTCTTTTAGCTGTCACTGTGTGTGTGTGCATGCTTGGAGTACATCCCTTTTTGGTGTTTTTGTTATGGGCGATTAGCCTTTGGACGAGCGTTAGATTTTTTGATAATTAATGAGCTTCGCCCGCCAACCATTACAGCTGCATATTTGCATTGACGCATTGTTGTCATTGCCAGTTATTAATCATTATTATTATTATTGTTATTATTATTATGATAAAGCTATAAAAAATTAGAGAGGTGTATAAATTCTTTCTTTGCCATACAATTGAAGTATTGTTTGTCAATGAAAAAAAGTAGAAGGAGAGAGAGATGGAAAAGAGACATTGTGGGTCATTGTGCATGAGTTTTAAATGTGTCATATATATATACATTTCTTTCATTGCCAAGGATACACAACTCTGCTCTTTTTTAATAGATCGGGTGCCACCTTTAGCCTTTTCTCTGCTCCAATCATCTCTCATTCTGTAGACAACCCTTCTGTCTCATTTTAGCAACGAGTCTCTTGATATATATAGTCTCATATGAGTCCTTCTCCCATTTAATCCCATCCTTCTCGTACGCCTTGTTAAGATTGAGTCCCCTGTCCGCGTAACACGTATTCGTATACCACCATCCACTTTTTGCTATATCTGCGCAAGACGTAGCTCCTGTTGGGTCATTGTTATCTTTGTCAATCGTCGTAAAAGGTCTTCCAGCCCATCCCTTCAAGAAGTCGCCGTTCACTTCTCCTCTGTACCCACTTAGAATCAGGTTGTATTGCTCATTGGGCCCTTTCACAAGGAAATGATCATATTTTGCTATTAGTGATTTGTTTTGGTGGGTCTCGAGTTCTATCTGTAGCTCCCAGCTCCCATTGTTTGTCAACGAGCTGATTCTGCTCAGACCATACCAGAATTCCTCATCTAGGCTCCCAAATCCAAACTCGTACTCTTCCCAGCTTCTGTTGAAGACGAGTTGCCCGTTGTACCTTCTGAGTATCACCGTCCATCCTTCCTTGTTGTTGTCAATGTTGCAGTATGCCATTGTCTGGGCGAACGGGCCTGATTTTATCTTGTAGACTCCGGAAGTGATTTCGTGCTTCTTCTCCTCTTTATTCTCTGCTTTTTCTGTTGAGAGCAATCTTGCATGCGAGGCCACTTCACAGCAACTCAGCCATGATTTCTCAAAATATGGATTGGGATTGGGATTCTCTTTGCTATTATTAGTGGAGTTGCTGGAGCCATTGTTGGTACCTCCAGTAGTAGTATTGATTGAGGTATTATTGGTGTAGGTGATATTGGAGGGAGAGCTTCTCACTGGATTGGAACTGCCTCTTCTGTTTGGGTCTCTTTCTGCTACAGCGCTTCTTGCTTCTCTTAGAGCAGCCCTTGTTGCTACAGGCCTAGTTTCTGTGGCTGCACTTGCAAGGCTTCTTCCTCTATCACTTGGTTGAGTAGTTGTGGGCTCTCCATGACTAACTGAGCTCTCTTGATTGCAGTGTTCTTCGTACAGCTCTTGCCATTTCTTGCAGAGTGGTGGCTGGGATCTAGCAGAATTTACGAAAGAGAGAGCTACTGATGATAATAATAATAATAGCAGTATCACTTTTCCCTCCATTACTGTAATAGTAGCAGTAGTATAGATTCTGACTCTCCTCTCTTAAGCAATTCCTTCTGTTTGTGTGGTTGGTTGTGGTTGTATGCAGTGCTTCACATTTTTATAATGATTGCCTTATATGTGGGAGTGAAAATTATGTAATTTTAAGCCTCATTTACTGTCTCTCCTTCTCTCCTTCCTCTCTCTACCTCTTTAGTGCGGGTGTGGGTCGCAGTGGAACTTACATTGCAGCTGACATTGGGATACAGCAGGTACGTAAGTTGCTTGGCAACTGGTAACATCGTTAGCTGATATATTTGTAACCTCGATATTCTGTTAAACCTTAAAATTACATTTGTATCGCGCTTCAGCACATGCAGAATAGTTGTAATCCTTAAGAATTTTAATGGGTTTTCCCTATGGAGGACCACAATTCCCAGAAAACTATCACTATACTTGTAATATAGACTATAGACTAAGAAGGCCTGCATAGTCTTGCATGATAGTAATTCTATTGATGACCTCTTAGATTACACTGTCAGGGCATTACTAGTGAAATGAACTCGCTAGTACGCGTGCCTTGTCTCAAACCACCAGACATGCAGACAGACAGCTGTGTGTGGGAGAGAAGAGAGAGAAAGAGAGAGGGGGGACGCATCATTGTTCGCCTTAATATGAAATTTATTATCTTTCTCTTTTTTCCTCCTCCGTAATTTGCAGTACAACGCTGAGAAGACTGTTGATCCGTACGGGACTGTTGTGAAGCTTAGGAAGCAGAGAGGCGGAATGATACAAAGTTTTGTAAGCTGTGGTTTTTGCTCTGTGACAACAGTTTTATATTGGTGTCTTGTAGCTTCATAAATTTAAATCAGATCATATTTTTAGCACTCTTTCTTTCTCCATCCCTCTCTCTCTATCTTAGGACCAGTATGCATTCCTCCATATTGTTCTTGCTAACTACATATCAAAGAACCCGTAGAAGAAGCAAACCAAGACTGCGAAACTTGACCCAATTTTACCCCTTCACTTAAATAAAACTTTATATTAAGAACACTTATATCATACATAGTTGTATTATTATTTATTAGTACATATATATATATATATATACTCACACATTAAGATGTAGTACTCACACACACAAAGTATCATATTTAAACATCTCCCCCTCCTACGTGATGTGCATTTTATCGTAGAGAGATTATTGTGGCATAATTGTACTAATTGTGAGTGGCCACACAAGAGCTGGGTCAGCTAAGAGACTGTGATAACGTCTCAAATTTAATAATAGCATCCTAACCTAAAGATTCATTCGACTATACTCTGGCTAAATTTATGAATCGGCTGAGAAGAGTTCAACTCCATGCGTATGCGCTGAAATGCAAATAATCAAAAAATCTATAAAAGTGATAGTACTACAGTGTATGGTCTTAATTGCTATGTTGAGGTCTGAAGACTAATTGCCTTTAATTAGTAGTAGGCATAGTAAACTTGTGTGTACACATTGAGATATTGAGGATGTGCTTGTGGTTCATTTCAACATTTTTGATGTCAAATGATACGCTTTAATGAGCATCCCTTATCATCTTATTGGACTACGATTGAGCTGATTAAATTCCGCACAAATTATTTATTATAAACGTTATAAACAACAATCATTAAAGATAATAGCAATAGTACGTACGTGTACTGATCAACAATATGACATTATTATTATTATTATCATCATTATTATTAAAGATGGACGAAGTGTTGATGGTTAAATTGATGAGTGAGGGAGGGAAAATGACAGCTGGAAGAAAGATTATAAGTCAATTTTATCAAATAAATAAAATGGCTTTCATTCATCATGATACAAAAATACACAAAAAAGAAAAAAAAGAACTAAATCAAGTTCTTTGATCCGGACTGACGACTCTCTCTTCCCTCTCTCTTTCTTTCCCTAAGTCTCCAGTCAAACGAGCCTCGCCATCAGTCTCTGGAGAGTTTTTGAGCTCTTCTGGGCCTATGTGTAGGAACCGACAGTTGCTGCCAAGACGACAGCCGTGGGATATGAAGTGTTTACATATGTTACCTATAAGAGAGAGAGAGAGAAAGAGGGATGGATATAAAGACATTCCATATTTAAAGTTGACAAATCACGACATCTAGTTTGCAGCTGCAATAAAGCGAATAAAGCACATGTATATTAAATACATGCCCATATCAAATCCTCTGTTGATATTGGTCCAATAATAAAATGTATACAATGATGCCGGGGCAGATGTTGAAAGATATCAAATGAATTCAAAAATTGCAAGAACTCCTGTCACAAAATATGATACAACATGAATTAATAAACTAATTTCTAAAGTATCAAAAGGGATGCCATTCCAGTCTGATGCAGGTGCTATTGACCAGAAAGAGAATCTCTAATGAATACCATGAATGCCAAAACGACATAGCAATGTCACGTACCAAGAAGCTCTCTATGAGTATACTGTATAGTGGGTAATCTTGGAGGGGATTAAATTTGGTGAATTTGGCGTTTTGATAGCCATTCGCCAAATTAAAACCTACCATTTTGAGCCATTATATTGTATATGCATGCTCAATGCCACGTGACCACGAATTCACCAAATTAAAACCAGCCAATCACCAAAAATTAGCAATTCGCCAAAATTTAGCCCCTCCAAATTTACCCGCTATACGGTAATTAACAAAAAATTTAATGCTTAGCTACAAAAATAATATACGAGGAGCATATTAGAGCAACTTTTAAAATTCGTAAAAAAAATTCAATTTTGATCAGAACCAGCTCAAACTTTCTAGCAACATAAGTATGTGTATATGTATCAGAAAACATTATAAAAATGGAAAATTCTCTCCTTTTTATTTTTGGCAAAGTTTGGTCAAAGTTAGTCCGATTTTGAGCAACTTTAAAAGTTTGTAAAAAGTACTGCCTAGCCTCCAGGATTTTAGCTTTTAATTGAAAATATATGTTATAATTTAATTTTAATGTAGAAAAAAATTCTTTTTATTCCTCAACCTTTTGAGAATCGATTTCTTCCTCTACCCCGCCCTCTTGTTGAGTGATGGGCTCCGCCTCCTCCATTAGTGTCTGGATAATACTGATAGTCCATAGATGAAGGGTGAGGGGGGTACCCATAATGAGGGGCAGGGTAATTCTGTCCCATGGGGTCCGGAGGTCCTCTAAAATTAGGATCCCCCGGGGGAAAAGCACCAGGTGAACCGCCCTACATGAGAAAAACGTGATTAGTAATTAACGATATTTAAATTAAGTTAGTTGGGTGAGTAGAGAACAAAAGAAAATCAATTTTCATAGTTCTTATTTACATCACAAAGGCCAGATTCCGATCTACCCACCCAACTACCATACAGCAGCTGGAGAAGAACACACGTACACGTAAACAAAGTATCATTTAAAATTCAATTATACAAAATTAATTCCAACCACAAAAATAAAGATATAATCAATCATACTTGATAATAGTGAGGGGAGTGATTCTGAGGTTCTTGATTATATGATTGATGATCGTTGAATAGACGTTGATCTCCTACTGGCCCGTACGGGGGACCGGAAAAGGGAGGGAGGGAGGGAGCAGCTGGAGCACCAGGCTAGTATAAATAAAAACAGAAGAATCATTAATTAGGGATTCACTTCTCTCTCTTGTTGTGGTCAAAGTGTAATCATTTTAATTAATTTTCAAGTTTGAGGGAGGGAAAGGGGGAGAAAGAGGAACAAATCATTTTGTTTATTGTGGTCAAATTAAAGAGAGAGGGAGGGAGAGGGAGAGAGAGAGGGGGGAGAGGGAGTGAGAGAGGGGGGAGAGGGAGTGAGAGAGGGAGGGAGTGAGAGAGAGAGAGAGGGAGACGGAGAGAAAGAGAGGGAGACAGAGAGAGGGAGACAGAGAGAGAGAGAGAAAAGAAAGAGGGAGGAAGCAGCTGTGTTGTTGCTCCAAACGGTGTAAGGTAACACAAGCCAAAATGCGCAATGTTAGAACTCAAAAACAAGACAAAAATTGTGTTTGTCATTTATGAAATCAAAGTTACCAGGACAACCCGGACAAGTATGGCCACCCAAGACTAGGAACAGAGTAAATACATGTAATCCTACTCTTGCTCAGCTAGGCCTCCCCCTCTCTCTCCTTTCCCTCACTCTTCCTCTACTTAAATCAATTCCCGTCACATTAGTAACTGTGACTGACCCAGTCTGTGTGGCTAACGGGGGATAAGGGACGGATATAGTCTAACTTCTTAGAGTCTTAGACGATTATTTTCATTATCATCTTACGAGAAATATCTTTAATGTAGCGTATAGGATTACCAGCAGTAAGCATGCATGTACATGTACATGAACATAAACACGTAATGTACATTCGTGTTGTCAATGATATCCTTATTCAAATGATCAAAATGGCATGCACAAATATTCAGGGGAACATTTCAATTTTATTTAATTTTCATAACGCCAGCTGTTTACAAAAATCTAAGCCCATACATGTATGCGTACAATGTGGGGATTCTTTTTAATAATAATTAATAATCTTCAATAAATTAAATTGTAGAGTCTGCTTACTTCTAGTAATGGTATCGCTCTAACTTTTTCTTCCATTCCTTCATCATTCTCGGGAACAGGGTCTGGCTCTGTTGGAGTTGGTAGCACGCTAGAGGGAGAGGGGGAGGAAGGTGTGGTCAGGGGTGGGGCCAATAATGAGATCATGTTTCGTACTGTACATGTATTTACTTACGAGGATTTACTCAGAAACAGTTGAGCAAGGACTGTTTCCTCTCTCTGAGCCTAAAATTAAACAAATAAACAAACAAGAGTTGTTATATATAATTATTGTTTTTCATTGTTGTTATTATTCTTATTATCATTATTATTATTGTTGTCATTATTAATATTGTTATTATTCTTATTCTTAATAAATAAATAAATAAATATTCACCAACATACATGTACATATAGACTGTACATTGCAATAGTATCTCTCTTACTTGTACTAGTTTCTCATTGCTGTCCTTTCCTCTCTGAGCTAATTCAATGCAATCAATAAGGAATGGTCTGTACCACTGCAATAAGTAGGTGTGGTTGATGCGAGGAGCTTATTAATAACGCTGTGCTTACCTGCATCACTTCAACCAGTTGATTATAAGCAATGGAAGATAGAGCTTCTTTCTCCATTAGCTTCTCACGTTGAGCAGCGTCGAGAAAACTTTTACCGAAAGAAACATTTGCTAAAAATGGAAAGATATATAAAGTACATGTATTTGGCCTATAAGTACGTGTATGTACATACACGTACTTACACGTACGTACTTTATGTATAAAACATCAAATTCTTACTTCTCTCAGATTCGTCCATTTCAAAATAGTGTATCGATACCAGGTTCTTGTCATCTGCCCACGAGACTTTCTTCTTTTTTGGTTTCTTGGATTCCGAGTCACTGGTCTCCATTTTATCAACCTCGTTCTCACCTTCGTCCCCGTTAGTAGCATCCAGTCCGTTAGTGAGTGGGTGTAGTGGGTCTGCTGAGGTGGGCGGGGTCTCGATATCGCTAGGAGCCTAAAGGAAGGAGGGAGTGAATGATTGTTAGAAATTAAATTGACGAACCTTCGTCTGCGTTGGTGATGGCTTCGGCTAAAAAAAAAGTAAAAAAAATAAATTGAAATGTGACATACATGTACACATAGATTGTGTACATGAGTATGTTTACTTACTCCTGATTTGTTGAGTTTTTTGATTCTCTTTTCTTGCCATTTGGCAGCTGCTTGGCTGCTCAGTGTGTCCATAAAGATATTACTTTCCATTAAGCCTAAAACAACAATTAATAATAAAGAGTTCTTTCAGCATAAGTACGTCAATATGTATCAGAAAATGTAATAAAAATTGGGGGTCATTTTTGGGCCACTTTTTGGAAAAAAGCATAGGCTATAGCCTTGGGTATTTTTCAGATTTTGGCCTATTTCTTAAAATGGCCATAACTTGAAAAATTTATGTCGGGATCAGCTCAAACTTTCTACACAGCATAAGGACATCAATATGTATCAGAAAATGTAATAAAAATTGGGGGCCATTTTTTGGCCATTTTTTGGAAAAAACCATGGGCTATAGCCTTGGGTATTTTTCAGATTTTGGCCTATTTCTTAAAATGGCCGTAACTTGAAAAATTTAAGTCAGAGTCAGCTCAAACTTTCTACACAGCATAAGGACATCAATATGTATCAGAAAATGTGATAACTAAAAATACAAATTATTTCAATGAACCTTTTTCTGTCTTTTGAGCCTTCTCTTCCTCATCGCCTGTAAAAAGAAGTTACATGTAGGAGTGAAGAACATGATCAATGACATACCTGCATTCGATAGAGAAGGAGACATCTTCGGCTTCTTTTCAGGCACAGACTTGGTAATAGACAAATCCCTGAAAAAAAAAATAATGATTTCAATTAACATGTGTCACATGATATACACAACAATGGCATATGCACTTGCACACATACATGTACATGTACATGTATGTGTGCTTTGGGAGGATTGTCCCTCCATTTTATAATTATAATAGTTATGTAGAAATAGTGTTCATTAAGAATAGCCTTTCAATTGTACAATGTACTTATATGCATTCATAATCCAGTCACTTCATTGATTAATAAAAAGTTGACACTTTTAAATACATACAACATGAGACAATGAGAGGAGGGAGTGACAGTAAAGAGAAAGGAGGAAAGAGAGAGAGTTCACAGAATTGTATAACAATGACTCATCATTATCATTATTCCAATTAATGTCACACCTTGGTCTCTTTTTTAGTTTGTCTCTTGGTTTGCCTAATGCTACAAGAGGGCCCAGGGGCACTGCCCCTTGGGCCTCCGCATTCTGTAGCTCTTTCTTTAGCTTCTTGGCAGCTTTCCTTTCCTCTCTCTCTTTCTCTTTTACTCGAGTTGATTCGTCCAATTGAGCACTTGAGGTAGGACCAGTAGAGGGACCTCCCTCTAGTTTACTTCCTGTGGGCGTGGCTTTACCTCGAGCTACATAAATTGGAAGTTCGGAACACAAGTATAATTATAATAATAATCATGTACATGTACATGTAGATGCACTATTATAATAATAATAATAATAATAATAATTATTATTATTATTATAATTATTATTATCATCATCATTATTATTATTATTATCATTATTATTACTATCAAGAGTAAATAATACTTACAGGTATTATTTACTCTTGTTACTATTATTATTATTGTTATTATTACAAGAATTGGTTAGGAATTCAGGATTTTAGTAACGTAGAATGTAGATTCAATTTAATACTATTAATTGTACTATACACACATAACATGCCACATATTTTTTTTAATTAGTATCTTTACCTGCCTGCCCTTCTCTGAAAACTGCCATCCATTTTGACAGAATATCGTTAGCCAAAGACTTCACTTCTATATTGCATAAAATCAATTAAGATTTCAAAAGCTACATTTACCTGGTGATTCATGCTTTGACAACTGCTTTACAAGTTTCCCCAAGTTACCCTACGCGAAAAAAAATTTAATTAAAACCAGCCCCGCCCAAAAAATACAGACCTGTTTTAGAGCTACGATGCTGACTGGCAATTTCTGCAACACCTGCAGAGAGAAAGAAGAGAAAAGGAGATAGTGAAGGAGGCAGTAACAGCTGCTACTCACTTGCAAAATTTCTAATAAAAAGGCGACATTTTGAGATTTCTTTCCGTCAGAGAGCCAGACATTCAACAAGCTCCACCCACCACCTTCCATGAACCTAATTAGAAAATTAATTAATCAATCAATTAATAATAATTAATATTAATTATTCATTATTACACACTTTGATAAGGTTGACTGTGCCTTCGTAGCCTGGAGTACATTAAGTATGAGACATCTGTTGATTAGTAGCAATGGATGACGGGACTCTGTGGTCTCCTTCATCAAACTATAAATAAAAATAAATAAAAATAATAGTCAAAAATGTAAACATAATTAAGCATTAAAAATAATCATATTATTGTCAATATAATAATCATTATGATTCGATTTTGTACAAATTTAAACTATAAACTTTAACTATGTTAACAGTTAATTTAATTCGTACAGCAATAATTAATGACTTTTAAAAGCTAGTTTTTGGTCTGCCAAACCGCTATGCTGTCCAATGAAAACTTAATTTGGCTCAAACGTGTACAAATTACAAAAATCCGATAACAAAAAAACAGCTGCTATGCGAACCATATGCATGAACAAAGTTTCTCCTTTCTCCAACAAGCACATGATAGCTTCAAGTATAAATTAAAATGGAGACTTTTGTTGCATCAAGTAATTAACCAACACGTGGAACGAGTCAAAGAGAAAATTAGAGATGAGCAAAAAATGTAGCGCGACCCTCTTAAGGCCAATATATCCAGCTGGAATTAACTGTCAGTAAACATGAGGAGCAACACAAGGCCAGTGACGTATGTTTAGAGGCACTTTGACGCATTACAGTGTGAATCAGGATTCGTTATACATGGTACTACTGTTAAGTGGGCTCACCTGATTAGTTTTGGTACTTCCTGGGCCGAGCGTAAGCTACCGGATGAGCCAACAAGACTGTCCAGTTTGTCCAGTGTGTAGCGAGCCCTTGGATCTATTGTTTGGATAGCAGAGCCACCATACTACAAATAATTGATTGGAAATAAAATTAATTTAAAAAGTAGCAAGATCTTACATTGCTTTCAGCAGCCATTTTATGTGCTATTATTTTATTAAGCTTTCAGAACCTATACATAGAAGAATGAAATAAAACATAATATAATACATGTTGGCACAAAGAACGCATATACATATATAATGTTTTGTATTCAGTACAAGCTCTCGACACGAAAATACTATTTTAAATATATATACAGGCTTGTAGGTTTAGCTCTTCTTCAAACGAAGCATGCTTTATCATGTAGTACGTAGGTAGGCTCTCCATAGTATGAAGTTTCTGTCAACCAGTAGCGGAGGAGACGGGGGATAGAGAGAGGGAACTCATTTCTGTTCTCCTTTATATAAACCATCTCTATCCCTTTTCCTCGTCTTCCTGTTGTTGTCACCTTCTTGTTTATAGAATTCTCGTTGTATAGGTATAATCATGACAGAGAGCCAGACACTTAACATATTAATGACACACACACATACAATACACACACATATAGACACACACTCTAAAAATAGTCTTTATCTCCTGTTCCAGGGAGCAGAGACAGCCAATTAACTCAGTTCAGCTTGCTTCTTTCTCTGTCTCTCTTTATAGTATAGAAGTAGACGGTTCTCTTCACTCCCTGGGCCCCTATTTGTATACTTTCTTGGATACAAAGAAGAAAATGGAGTCCTTGCTTTCTTTCTCCTGTCAACACTACTTCTGCGCATGCGCAGAAACCAAGTCTGCGAAACACTAACTGGTTAGTTAACTATTTATAATAACTCAGCTGCACATGCGCAGAAGCTCTACCCGCCATCTACCGGGTGGTTAGTTAACTATTTTATCAATAACTCTACTGCTCATGCGCAGAAGTCAAAACTGGTTATTGTAGTTATTAAAACTCATTATGAAAAAAATATGCAATTATGATAATGTATTTTTAACTCACCTGATCACAGTGATCAGCATTTATAAAGGAAGGCAAAGTGATACTACTAGAATCCTTTCCTTTCCCCATCCTCCCTCTGATCCAGATATTCCTTTCAATAATCCTCCTCTGATTTATACTCCTCCTCCATCATGCTTTCCATCTTCGGCTGCTGCTGCTACTGCTCTGGTGACAAAGGCAGTGACAAAGGTAACAACAACATTTTTTGCTAACTCGGATTGTAACGTTTGAGTCATCAAAGTTTCCTTGCAAAAGATAGAGAGAGAAAGAAGGAGGATTTGTTTATTTTTGTACAGCCTCAATTAGAAACGTAATTGCTAGAGTGTAAATTGGTTTATGTCTCAAGGGGAAACATGGATACAGTATATTATCATAATTCCTTGTATCTCAAGTAGTATAATACTTACATTAAACAATGGTTTTGTGTGTCTAGTTATTGTACAAGTTGTTCATGTATGAATTCTCATTGTTTCAGTCGTCTAGTGTTAGATTTTTGCAGGTGGCAAAAATGCGATATGTTAACGCACACAAATAGTTTTAAATTAGGTAATAAATGCTATTTTGACACTTCTCCTATTTTAACACTTCCCTTGTCTGTTGTTTTTCCTATCCCTCTCTCTCTCTCTCGCCTTCTCCATATTACATTACGTTTTTATGATAATATTCATTTGTTATTGAAGAGAGAGAGAGTATGATGATGTCACGATGACATCATTGTCTGGATCTAGCTCTGATTTCACCTGCAGACATGTTAAAGTCTATAGTGTTCATTCAGTAATAATTATTATGACAATTATTGGAATTTATGTTTGTAAGTAATGGAGGGTGACTTCAGCGGGCATGATGTATTTGTGTCTAATTGTATTGTGTTATAATTTATGATTTAATCTTTCCTACTTCATTAATGTCTCATCTCTCCGTCATAGTTATGATTTTATGTCTATTGTCTTTTGTCTAAACGTTACTCATCACTCTTTCTTCTCTCTCTCTCTCTCTCTCTCTCTCTCTCTCTCCCTCTCTCCCTCCCTCCCTCTCCCTCTCTCTGTAATTCTCTCATACCCAGAGGCCCCAGACTATGGTGCAGACTTTGATGGCCCCATCAAAGGGAAGAGAAGGTATTTTCAATAGAGATTTCAATATCAGACATTTGTATAGTGAAATATTATATAAGAATATATTCACAATTACAATGATTTACATATACATGTACATGTATATATACAGCTTCATAAAATGTGTATAACCAACTTCTACCATGACACTTGAAAAACAACTACCAGCTGCTGATAATAAGACCACAGTTGACATACATACAACATATCTAACAGGCTAGGCCAGTAAAGAATCAACCAAACTTGACAAATGGACTAATAAGAGCATAAGCGTAGAGTACCAAACTGCCAATCAATTAATTATTTAACGAGATAGGTTTATATTTTTACAAGCTAGGTTAATATGAAAAATAATTGACCTCCAATACTGCAATCTGATTGGTCAATCGCAAGGTGGCATGGTAGAAGTATATATACACACGTACACGGTGCCATTAATCACATTAACTGTAATCTTGCAGTAATGCAATACTGTCTGACAATGCACTGTCTCTGTATGTCTTCATTTGTTTGCATGTTTTGAGACAATTTTTGGGTGTGGAGATGTTTCTGTTGGTCGCGAAACTAGCGGAAATGTTAAATAAATTGTTTTAATTTGATTATACCTTTAATGGCGTTCTGAAGAGTGCCCAATGTGAAACTGTTTGGTGTTATGGTACATAATTTTACATATTTTATTAATTAGCAGTATTTAGTTTCCTTGCGTGAGCATTCCTTTATTTTATTACCTTCCTCTCTTTCCCTCTTTTGCTCTCTCCCTCTCTCTCTCTCTCTCTCTCTCCCCCTCTCTCTCTCTCTCTCTCTCTCCCCCCCTCTCTCTCTCTCTCCCCCCCTCTCTCTCTCTCTCTCTCTCTCTCTCTCCCCCTCTCTCTCTTTAGATGTCCAACAGACATAATCTGTCTCATTTTATTTCTTGCTTTCATCCTTGGGATGTTCGGCATTGGAATATACTGTGAGTACATCTACTATATACATGTTGTAGCAGCTGCATTAAAACTTTTCAATTTTGTCTTTCTTTTGTTTCAATAGCTTTTGTTGTTGGCCATCCATCCCGTCTACTTCATCCAGTGGATTCAAAAGGAAGGCTGTGTGGCCTGGACAAAGGAGTAGAGTAAGAGAGAGAGAGAGAGAGAGGGAGAGAGAGAGAGAGGGAGAGAGAGGGAGAGAGAGAAACAGAGACAGAGAGAGAGAGAGGGAGAGACAGAGAGAGACAGAGAGAGAGGGAGGGAGAGAGACAGAGATAGAGAGACAGAGAGAGAGAATTATCTTTACATTTATCATAATACACATGTACTTACTGTGTTTATCATTTGAAAAGGAACAAGCCATACTTACTCTTCTTTGACTGGACAAGGTGCATTCGAGTTGTTGGCTTCAGTGACCTTGTTACTGGAGATGTTGAAGCTAGCGACTTCTTCTCATGTAACACGCAACAAGTAAACAACAACAAAAACACAAACAAAAACAACTGCATCATCAATCATCATTATTATTATTATTAAGTATTTTTTGTTATTATTTTTGTAGGTTTGTGTAGATGCTTGTCCTACTGAGAACGAAGCCGGTATTAGAGCCAATCCTGTTTGTGTTGATGGAGTTGACACGACTCAATTCAACGTTTTCAATAACGTCTCGCTCCTTGATACACCAGCTGCTGCAGAGGCCGCCTCAGTAAGTATTAATAATTAGCCACGCCCATTTAATAACTGACCACACCCTTTTAAATTAGAATCTAGTTCAGTTGATTATCGATGAGAAATGTGCCCCGTATTATATTATTAGTGAAGAACGTGAGTTAATAATGACTTATTAATTAATTAAGTTTTTAATAATTACGTTATTAATTAATTACTTAAATTATTAATCATCAATTAATTATGTTATCAATTAATTAAGTTATTAATTTTTTATTATTATTCAATTTATTCCTTTCTTTTTTTCTCTTACAGTTGCTAATAGATGCATTCCCACATTCACCGAACTAGACTCTTTCATTAATTTGGCTAATGTCACTAATTTCAATGAATCTGACGTCCCTTCAATTAGATCAATTATATTTGATTTAACACTATCAGACGTACTCAATGGGACCTTGTAAGCATCAATATGTATCAGAAAATATAATAAAAATTGTGGAGCCGTTTTTTGGAAAATACCCAAGGCAATACCCAAATACAAGGAAAATACCCAAATACAGGGTATTTTCCAGGTTTTAGCACATTTCTTAAAATGGCTGTAACTCGAAAAATTTAAGTCGGAATTAGCTCAAACTTTCTACACAGCATAAGGGCATTAATATGTATCAGAAAATGTAATAAAAATTGGGGGTCATTTTTTAGCCATTTTTTTGGAAAAAAGCATGGGCTATAGTACAGGGTGTTTTTCAGATTTTGGAAAATTTCTTAAAATGGCGATAACTTGAAAAAATTAAGTTAGAATCATCTCAAACTTTTTACACAGCATAAGGACATCAATATGTATCAGAAAATGTAATAAAAATTGGGGGTGATTTTTTAGCTATGGTCTTTACCCTTATCTAAGATTTTACATTTTTGTTCTTTATCAAAAATTCATGGTAAAATTTTGATATTAATCTGTAGGACTCAAGCTTTGTTTCTTAATGCTCAAGTGTTTGTTTACGGAGTATTACAGGACTTACAAGTCGTCTGGCCAGCTATATTAGGGTAAAATATTATTATTTATTTATCTATTTAATTATTAATTATTTATTTATTTAATTTAGTGCTGCTGGAGTAACTGTCCTCTTCTGCTACCTTTATGTCATTTTGATGAGGTAATGACATCGTTATTTTATCTTTTATTTTATTATTTTATTTCTAGATATTTTGCCGGGATTGTCATTATTGTGAGTATCATACTGGCCCTCCTCCTCATAGCAACTAGTAAGATCATCATCATCATCAATTTTTAGAACTAGATATAATTTTTTGAGACCAAATTAACTAAAAATGGGAGATTTAAAGACACCAAGGGCTATAAATATGATCTTTTAAAATGGTAGATTTCAAGAGACCCAGACCAATTATGTGTGACCAAAAAAGTCTCCTAAACTCCCTCTAGATCTAAAACTGATCATCATCATCATCATCATTATTATTATTTATTATTATTTTATTATTATTATTATTATTTATTATTATTATTATTTATTATTATTATTATTATTATTTATTATTATTATTATTATTTATTATTATTATTATTATTTATTATTATTATTATTATTATTTATTATTATTTATTATTATTATTATTATTATTTATTATTTATTATTATTATTATTTATTATTATTATTATTTATGAGTCATTTCTTGTAGTATCCGGCTTTGCTTACTTCCAATACTATTGCTTTGTGGCGGGTAATGCCAACATTCCCTCCCTCACAAGTGGTCTTACTGACTCGTCGACCGTCGTCAACTTCCTCAATTCTACTGAGAGCTTTGCTGCGTCTGGCTGCCAGTTCACTAACCCACTAAGGGACTTCTTTGCCGCTAATGCTCCATGGTATGACTATCAGAAGGAAACCTGGCTGGTTATAGGTATGGAGGAGGGAGGAGAGAGAGAGGGAGAGAGAGAGAGGAGAGAGAGGGAGAGGGAGACAGAGACAGAGAGAGACAGAGACAGAGAGAGAGGAGAGAGAGGGAGAGACAGAGAGAGACAGATGCAATATAAGTGTTGGATAAATAATTTAATTGTTTTTTTTTCATCAGGTATTGTTGGTACAGTCCTTCTCCTAATCCTTATCATCATTCTAATTGTCTTTTCTAAGCAGATCAGGATCTCAATTGCCATCATCCAAGAGGCCAGCAAGTAAGAAATATATAAATAAAAAATATAGAAATAAAATATTTTGCACATAATGAATGATTTACATTGTTAATCTTATTAATTTATTATTTATATTTTTAGAGCCATTGGTTACATACCTGGTGTTATATTCTACCCTATCTTCACTTGGCTGTTCATAATATTGACAGCAATGTTCTGGGCAGCTGTGGCACTGTATCCTATTCATAACCACCAATTAATTAACCACTTATTACTTAACTACTAGTTAATTAATCTGTCCAGTATCTAGTTAATGGACTACCAGTTAATTAACCAGTAGTTATTATCCTTAACAGTTATTAATGATAGTTTCCTGTACACGGCATCCAAGAGCCAGTTCATATTGAGATCAAATAATGAAACCGTTGATTCAATAACGTCGATCACCAATGTAACCTATCGCATTGGAAAAGAGTGTGTCCTAGAGGTAAGACTGTAAGAACAAAGAGCTGTGCATGTAGCTAAAGAGAGGTAGCTATAGATAAAGAAAGTGAGGTACATTTAGCTATAGATAGGTAGTTATATGGATATGATTGTACACTGTAGCCTCTCTTAACGGACATTCTCTACTCTATTACATGTACATGCTTTTCTCTTTTGTAGAATTTCAATGGTGTTCTTGGTAGTAATAATACACTAATGATAGAGGATGTTGCTAGTGGTTTGAATAATACTGTTTCCTGTATCTTTAACACTTACGTTAGTGACCAGTAAGTAATACTAGAAATGAACTGAAAGGAGTGTTTATCTTCTCTGTTTTTATCTCTCCTCTCTCTCTCTCTCCCTTTCTCTTTCTCTCTGTTTCTGTCTCTCTCTCCCTTCTTCTTTCTCTCTAGAATCCTCCTCTACATGCAGCTGTATATGTTGTTTGGTTTGCTGTGGGTCTGCAATTATTTCATTGCTCTTGGTCAGTGTACCATTGCTGGATCCTTTGGTTCCTATTATTGGGCTTTTGACAAGAGGAAGGACTTGAACTGGTTCACTACTGGAGCGTCCTTTGCAAGGGCTATATTGTAAGTACATGTACTTCATGCATTAATGATAATGCTAATAATAATAATAATAATGATAATAATAATAATATTTATGATAATAGTAATAATAATCGTAATGTTTATGATAGTAATTGATGATAATAATACTAACGATCTTGAAGTTGGAATTGAAATTTTAGCAGCACAATAATCATTAATTGTACATGTACATTTTAAAAGTCAAGGTCATTTTAAAACTGGTCATTTTATCTCTCTCTCCCTCTCTTGTAGTTTTCATACTGGTTCACTAGCATTCGGAGCCCTCATAATAGCGATCGTCCAAATGATACGTCTCATACTAGCCTACATACAAAAGAAACTCAAGAAACACGAGGCCAGCAAGATCGCCCACGCCATCTTGACCTGCATGCAGTGCTGCTTCTTTCTACTGGAGAAAGTATTTAAGTACATCAATCGCCACGCCTACATTGAGATAGCCATATATGGACACGACTTCTGCACTGCTGCCTGTAAAGCTGCCAAGTTGTTACTAAGGAACGTCATTACGTAAGAGTCATTTCTACTCGTACATGTTTTAAATTTTTTTATTTCTCTCGTAGTACTGCTATTAAAGACAGGATTGTCGGGTTCTTGCTGTTCATGGGGAAGCTATGTGTGGTAGCCATTATGACGTTCCTGGCTTATCTGATATTCGGTCAATACGAGGAATATGGACGTGCAATCTGGCAGAGGGAGCTTAATTATTACCTCATTCCGCTTATTGTAAGATGATTATTATCAATTATTATTATTATTATTGTTATTATCATTATTATCTTATTATCATTATCATAGTAAAACAAATACTATTATTATACAGTGTAGGGTGGGTTACAGAAAAATAGGTTAAACCAGGATAGTAGGATAATAAAAGTGATTGAAGTCAGGAATAAAAACAAAAAATAGAATAAAATAAATTATTAAAGAAAGAGTGGGTTGATTCCTATTATTATTATTATTATTATTATTATTATTATTATTATTATTATTATTCGTTGTTGTTTTTATTTTTATTTTCATTTTAGATTGTAATGGTTCTCTCATATTTGATTGCATCAGGTTTCATGGCAGTTTACGATATGGGGGTGGACACTATCTTCATATGTGCATGTAAGCATCTTAATATAAAATTTTTTAATAATAATTCCTGTCTAATTCTTTTTTTGTATTTATATTTTTGTTTTTTTTTTTGCTTTTATTTTTCTAGTGGAGGACGAAGAACGCAACAACGGATATGACAAACCTTATTTCATGAGCAAGAAGCTCCAGAAGTTGATGGGAGTCCATAATCGCGTCAAAAGAGGAGAAGGAACTGATGGAGAACAATTGCAAATGGAAGACCTTGAAAATGGAAAATAGTAAAATAGCAGAGCTATTTTAAAGACTATCAAGAGAGAAAAAAGCATAAATATCTAAGACAAATAATAATAAATAAATAAATATTTTAGTGAGTGAACGAGAGAAATTATTTGAGAGATAATTCTGTGTGCATGTGAATGATAGTGTTGTCAGTGTTTTCAGTATAGTACACATATCTTCCTCTTTTAAAAATTCATTAAATAAATGTGATAGTTTTATAATATCAATTAAAAAGACAGAGATAGGCATTTGTTAAGAAAATACTGCACATTTTGGAAATTTTTAAGTTTATTGTTGCAAGGTTATCTTTTTGGCTTTGACATAATAATACACGTACTTGCATGTTTGATATAACGTTGACATTTTTGGAATTTTAAAAGATTGTTGTCCTAAAGAAATATTATGGTGGCTTCAACATATTTTCATTTGTACAAATAAGTGCTGCAAGGAATTGTAAGGCCATTTTGAGCTGGAGACAGCAATTCAATGCAACTTGTTGACTGCCTCTTACTCTCTGCTGCTTGTCAGCCTCAGACAAAGTGTAAAATTATTAATATCATACAAGATCTATTAGGATGTAGCTATCTACAGTACATGTACTAGTATTATTAATTGATGATACTGAATTAAATAGTAATTGTTAAATAATTAAAAACAGAAACGATTGCACACGTACTGTCAATGAGAAATGAAATAAAATGATACAACAAATAATTTAAAACTGATTGGAAATGATAATAACAACAACAACAACAACAATAATAATAATGCTAATAATAATCATACAATGAAAGAGACATTGAAATAAATAATAACAATGATAATAATAATAATAGTACCAATTCAACTTTTCAATCTCTATCTGTCATTGTGCCCTTCATCATCAGAAGGCGTGAGCTGCTCGGGATCTACTGGAGTCCTTGGAGGAATCTCTTCATTATCCAGTTTCCACCTCACGCTCCTCTGTGAGGCATTGGCGTTCATATCGTTATGCCGATATGGAATATCGTCATCTTCGTCATCATCGTCGTAGTTAGGAGGTTGAGAGGGAAAGTAATTATCGTAGCCAGCTCCTCTCATTCCGGCCCCCGGGTGACCATATTGAGGTAGGAGCCCGACGTGCATTGTCGGGTGATAGTCCATTTGTGATACTGATAGTATAGGGGAGAGTTGATCTGTTCCGTACATCATCCCCCCGTGCATTGGTGGGGGGTAATTCCCTGGGGCTAGGTGGGGGCTTATTGGATAGCTGTATCCGTCCATGAAAGGTGGAGGGTGGTGAGGGGGAGGGTGATGATAGCTCGGCCCCATGGGGTCGTACGGTAACATTGGATCCATTCCATAAGGTGGGTGTGGTCCCATGAAATCTCCCTGAGGGGGGAAGGGGTAGCGGGGGCTAGTAGCAGGGCCGGATGCTGGTATGTGATGTGGCGATTCGTCAAAATCACTTGCATAGTGATTAGTGTATGTGTTAGATGCGCCTATACTAGAATCATAGCTACTGACGCTCCCGGTCTTACGCAGAGCACTCTTCAAAGGTTTCTTAGGATTCTCTGGACTGCCATCACTGTCCTTTGCTACTTTCATTCGCTTTAGTTTCATTCTTAAACTGGCTCTGATGTACTCAAGTGATGTAAGTTTGCCAAGTCGACTGGAAGCACCTGATTTATTTGCCGAAGCTCTGTTGAAAGAGCCTACAGGTACCGATACAGTATTACTTCTTATTTTTTCTGGAGTTTCCTGAAGATCTGATTCCGCACTCGGAGAAGGAGTCGCCTTTGGATTCTGTGGTCTAGGAAGAGACGTGAGAGAACTGAGCGAAGTCTTTTTAGTTCTTCCCTCTTCGGCACTTGCCGAAAGAGATCGTTCAGTTTTTTCCCCGTCCCTCCCTCTCTCTAGACTAGTCAATAGTGCAATGTCACGAGATGCATAACTTGAGCCCCGCCCTTTGCTGACTTTAGTAGGCGTGGCATCAAGCAGCTCGTCTGTCGAACTCGACAGCAACGGACTCTCGGTTCTATGACTTGCCCTGTCCGTTGCCTCCTCCCGCGATTCGTTAGACGTGCCCTGCCCCATACCTACGGTAATCATTGGGTTCCTATGCAGGACTGGGTCTTGGCTCTCGTCCATCATTGAATTGGTAAACATGACATCACTCCCATGCATGACTCCTAGCCCGAGGTACGAGTACTGACTGTTCTCTCCGCCCACCACATCCTGCGAGTGCTCGTTCGATCTTCGATTCCGAGACTGTGACAAGTTATCGCTCAAATGCATGAAAGGGGATTCCCTTCCGTCGTTTACTTCGTCCCTTTCCTCTGCCTCCTTTGTCACGGGGGAGACGTCGTCGTCGTCATCGACAGATATACCTCCGCCAACTTGAAGTATCATCTGAGAAGCATCAAAAGGGGTCAGTTTTGATAGCGATTGCTGAGTAACTTCTCCTCCTCCTCCGGCACCTCCTATTAATTGACTGTGCTGCACTTGACTGTGTCCTTGATAATGAAGAGCATCGTCAATGCTGACTTCTCCTAGTTCCGTTTCAGCAAAGACCTCACTTCTTTTACGAGTTATTGGTTCTGGTCTAGCTTGATGCTGCTGGTGCAGCTCGTGTTGATGGTAAAAGTGTTGCGGTGAGCTTATGGATGGTCTGAAGCGTGTTCCTCTTACATTACCATTAGATAGTCTCCTCCTAAAATAAATATAATAATAATAATTATTAATAATCTCTCTCTCTTTCTCTTTGTCTCACTCATCAACTGAGTATCTGTCTTTCTTTCTTCTACAGCAGCAGCAACAGCATATCACGACGACTATGATACATAGGAGGAGGCTAATAACACAACCACCAACAACAACAATAATGGCTACATCTCTGTTCTCCTGAAAGAAATCTAAAAATACACAGTATATTGTAACAATTAATATAATAATATAATTTAAAAAAAAAAATATATATATATATATATACAAATCAAAATTAAACTATTTTTAGCTATAATAAAAATATATTGTTAATGTCAAATGCACATTCACTTACCCCATATTTGGTTCAGTAGTCCAGTATCGCCACCATTAGTGGGACTCGTCCCTTTACAAATTATAATTATGTAAAAATACAAACAATCCATTACTGTACCTGTTTGTGAGGGGGTAGGACTGCTGCTACTCTGTATCGATGGAGTAGGAGTGAGAGGAGAAGATACTAGAGCTGAACTTGTTGCTATAAAAAGTGACAAAAAGTTGATATAAAAACACAAGAATGGAGTAAGGTTGGCTGACCTGGTGTAGGAGTGATTGATATTTGAGTTAATAATGAAGAGAAACTTGAGACTAGACTAGTATTAGTAGGTGGCCTAGTTGTAGCAGTGACAAATAGTGATGATGAAAACATATCGTGTGTTGATGACGATAGAGTTTCTAACACTTTTTCTGAGCTTGTCATAACAAGAGGAGGAGAGGAAAGAGAGGGAGTGGGAGTTGGAGTTGCTTGACTCTCAAAAAATGAGGTAGATAATGGTTGTGTGGTCAAGATTGAGTGAGAAAGGGACTGGAACAAACTCGATGGCAAAACAGAAGACATTAAAGTAGTACTAGGAAGAGGAGATGGTGAAAAGTATGAGCTAGATTGGGCTGGTAGGGAAGAAGAAAAGGTAGCTTCTTGTAACAGGAATGAGGAAGTCATGGCTATGCCATATGACAAGGAAGAAGATTGAGAGAGGCCAAATTCTAGTGTTTGTGAGCCAGGGGCAACTTCCGTTACTAGAGCTGATGTGCTATCCATTAATGCAAGCAATGAAGATGAAGAAGTTGGGATATTCATAGACTCCGATTCTAAAGGTGCTGTATTTGATGGCTGCATTAGCATAAGTGACTCAGTAGGGTCATCGAAATCAGTTGATAAGAGTAGCGTGGAACTGCAATCAATTGATTCAGAGATTTCGCCGCTGCCACCTCCATTGCAGTTAGCTTTGATTGTCGAGTAGGTGAGGAGATGGAACACTATAAAAGAAATGAAAGGTTGTTTGGTAGCTTTGTCGATATGAAATAGTTGGCATATTTTATGGGGTAATTGTATAGATGCTGGAAAATTAGCTGAGCATTTTATGCCGTGTAGGAGTGACCAAGTGTATAAACATCCATCAAAACATGACAGGCTACTGTATACATACATGCATGTATATTAAAACTTCAATGAAACAACTGTCAGAAACATTAACAAACAGGAATCAATGTATTTTTGCATTATCTTGTGGTCAAGTTGTTTATGATTCCTTTATATTAAATACATCAAAATAAGTGTGGGCGATGGACTTTGATGTTTTAAATATCAAAAAAGGCTAGAGCCTCTGGCTGTGTAATCATTTTGAAATTGATATTATAAACAGATCTCAGACAACACTGACTGTATATGTATAGCTACAATGGCATTATTTTGAACTTCACAGTATCAAGACAAGGAATCATAGAATAGCTGCTGTTACATAACAAAGGCAAACTTGATGCAATAGCATTAATAATGTATTTAATTTCAATTTCAAAAATACAGCTTGGATTAAGAGGTAATACCAGTAGCAATAGATTATAATAGTGTAGTAGATGTAATGATAAAAGCTATAGGCCCTACTGCAACATATTGGATGAACCATACAAGTACATGCATGTACATTCTTTGCTCTCATGTCCACTCACTTGATACATGCAGTGTTACAGGTCCATACATGTTTGATATAAGGGAATGGGGGACTAGGTGTGCCACACACACAGTTATATAAATACATTATACACTTTATATAGTTTAGAAATTAATGATCTGAAAAGATTCTCACACGACAGCTCCAAAAATGACTCATGCAGGGATTAAAGTTTATAGTATATAACAACAGGGGAAAGAGTCTATTACTATGATTTACTATGATAATGCGAGGAATTGTAGGGCAGGTCTACTTAAAGATCTTGTTAGTTATTGTTATTACCTGAAAACATGAACAAGGCCCGTTGCAGGAAGGTTGCTATCTCCATGGCCCTCGCTTCAGGACCCTCCCGGGAAGGACAGTTAGCTGTGCAAGGAGAGACGTCCTCTGAAGGAGACTTAGGGACGAGAGTAACCGAGCAAACTTCTCTTCTCCCTGGCCTGTGGTTCTCTCACTTGCTCAGTGTATGTGCGAATAGACGCATCAAAGCACACGCCCACGCATACAAACCACGCCCCTCATTTGGGGTGTGTGGTCTAGTTAATTAAGACACACATGGATGCTTGGAGTAACTGATATTCTATTTTCTGCTTTAGGAAAGTCATGAAATACAAGCAAAGGCTCGTTTTATTTCTAATTGTATTAGTATGTCTCGTATTCCTTTCTCTTACATTCTCCTTCAATACGGAACCAGAAGAGCCCACACAGAACACAGTCAAATCAAATCAACGAAGCCTACACGCGAGTGAGCCAGAGGATCACGTGACGCCAGGACCCACTACCCCTCCCCCTCCTATTGACTACACTAGACCGTGGAAGATATGGTCCAATTGGGTGAGAGAGGACGTCCTTTATCCTAACGGCGTTTTACATTCGACTGAAATGGATTTGATATTATATGGTTTATCGTCTTATCCTGTCACGAAACTGGACGTGGGCTATAAAGGGACACAACTAAAGGCCTCAATGTATCTTGAGGGAGGACAGAGGACCGTATTCAAACCAATGAGGTACATGTACATAAGGGTGGGCTTTAATACCTAAAATTAATTATTATTAATAATGAAAATATTTTTATAATTTTGTCTTGACGTCAATTTTCTTACTCATGCGTGTAATTTTATTAATTTTAAATGCCCATGCCCCCTCAAGGGTTCTCGTGTTTTTCAATAAATTTTGTAGGTTCTCGCGTGATGCTATAGTTGACGGACCGGACGACCCCTGCAAGGGCCAGGACAGGCACAATGGAGAAATAGCCTCTTTCCATCTTGAGAGGTAGAGAGAAAAAAGTGTTAATTCTTTTTATTTTTAAACAGTATTTTAGGGTATAGGCTGGCTCCACCTGTTGCCGGTAGAAAGATTAATCTTACAGCACTCCTTCCTGTGACTAGTAAAGCACTTTATGACACTTACCTCACTGAAGGCAAGTTTAATTATTTATTATCGATTCTATCATGGGGGATAGTTCATTATTTTGTCATTTAAAAAGTTTAATGATAAAAGTATAGAGTGTTTTGACATATTTCTGTGTATGGATATTGGATACTTATATGTATTTTATCATGGCTATGATAAAAGAATTAGAGCTATCTTGTATTTTATTTCTTTTTAGACGGCAATACTTGTTTCTATGGTAAGTGTCTTTATTGCAAGCCGTCAGAGAAGGCGTGTGGCAAAGGTGACATAATGGAAGGCTCTGTCACAATATGGCTGCCTGATTGGTACCAAATGAAGACTTACAGACATCCTTACCAGCGAACATACATACCTGACGTGAAAGCAAAGTGAGGAGAGAGAGGGAGGGAGGGGGAGAGGGGAAAGAGGGGGAGAGAGAGAGGGGGAGAGAGAGAGAGAGAGAGGGAGGGAGGGAGGGAGGGAGAGGGAGAGGGAAGGAGGGGGAGAGGGAGGGAAGGGGAGAGGGAAGGAGGGAGAGAGAGAGAGAGAGGGGGGGGGAGAGAGAGAGGAGGAATGGAATTTTGTTTGTGACATTTAAGATTCTGTTGGTGAACATGTTAAACAATATACACTACTCTACAAAAAGCTAGACTATTGTAATACTATTCACATATAATGTAATCAATCTATCATTAGTAGACATTACTCGGTGAATATATTTCTATGAATGCATGTTACTGGTTACACAGGATTACACAATAGTCTAAGAATTAGTAGTGAAAGAGGAAGAGAGAAGTGGGAGAGGGAAGGAAACATCAATCATGTATTGATCTATTTTTGTAAAATCTATAGCTGTCAAGCATGAAATTGTTTAATTACACACAGACATGTAATAGCTACAGTGCATGTTTATATCCATGAGAAAATGGCTAGCTAATTATCTTTGAAAATATTTTCTGAGCACTAAATTCTACAATTTCGGTAGCAATGCTTACAATTATTTCAGTAATTGCAGTTTGCAAAAGTAGCACTTAGTAATCCTATTATTATTATTATTATTATTATTATTATTATTATTATTACTTTTAAAGGTGGGAAGTAGATGATGATTATTGTCGCACTCGCCTCCTGACTCCAAACAGCTATTATTATAACATTCTTCCTGATGTTTTTGATACCATGGTCCTGGATTTCCTAGTTGGTAATGCAGACAGGCACCATTTTGAGACGTACGCTCTACACGGACTAAAGGAAGGGCGCCTCATGCATATTGACAATGGGAAAAGGTTGATACTATAAATAATAATAAATTAATAATAATAACAATAATAATAATAATTATTATTATTATTATTTATGTCTATTTTATATGTACATGTAGTTTTGGTAATCCTAATCATGATGAGATGTCAATTTTAACTCCTTTGAAGCAATGTTGCAAGTATGTCTATAATCTACTCCTCCTCCTCCTCTCTCTTCCTTTCTTGATATCTATCATATAGAAAGAAGTTTTGGAGGTAGTTAAATTTGGCATTTTGATAGCCATTCGCCAAAATAAAGATCTGCAATTTTGAGCCATTATACGCATGCTCAATGGCACATGGCCACAAATTTGCCAAATTAAAATTCGCCAATCACGAAAATTTAGCGATTCGCCAAATGTAACTCCCTCCAAAATTTCACGGTATATGAACTTACTCTTCTCAGATTAAAAAACTCTACTTGGGAGAAACTCCGTCATTTGAAGACCCAGGGTCTCTCGCAGTTACTAGATAAATCCCTCAAGAGGGATCCATTATATCCTGTATTGACCCAGGCGCATCTTTTGGCCATTGACCGTAGACTGGATGTGTTTATAGGCGAAGTACTGAAGTGTATTCAGCAATATGGTCGCTCTAACGTTCTCTTTGATAAGTGGCCACAGTTTTAGAATTAACATTGTTTTATTTTTTACTTTTTTATTTATTATATATATATCACTTTATGAGGAGCAAAAACTTGCACAAATTAAATGTAAAATTATTTATATTATGGTGGCAGTTATAAATCTGCAGTTCGAGATTCTTTAGATAAATTGCAAGCAAAATTCTCTCACATCATGATAGAAATAAAATCAGTATTTCTGAAAAAATGCCCTGTACTATGGCTCATGATTTTTGTGGAAAATGGCTAAAAAATTACGTCTAATTTTTATTACGTTTTCTGATACATGTTGACATTCTTATGCTGTGTGGAAAGTTTGAGCTGATTCTGACTTAAATTTTTCAAGTTACAGCCATTTTAAAAAATACGCCAAAATCTGAAAAATACCCAAGGCTATAGCCCATGCTTTTTTCCAAAAAATGGCTAAAATTTGATCCCCAATTTTTATTACATTTTCTGATACATATTGACATCCTTATGCTGTGTAGAAAGTTTGAGCTGATTCCGACTTAAATTTTTCAAGTTACAGCCATTTTAAAAAATACGCCAAAATCTGAAAAATACCCAAGGCTATAGCCCATGCTTTTTTCTAAAAAATGGCTAAAATTTGACCCCCAATTTTTATGAAATTTTCTGATACATATTGACATCCTTATGCTGTGTAGAAAGTTTGAGCTGATTCCGACTTAAATTTTTCAAGTTACAGCCATTTTAAAAAATACGCCAAAATCTGAAAAATACCCAAGGCTATAGCCCATGCTTTTTTCTAAAAAATGGCTAAAATTTGACCCCCAATTTTTATGAAATTTTCTGATACATATTGACATCCTTATGCTGTGTAGAAAGTTTGAGCTGATTCCGACTTAAATTTTTCAAGTTACAGCCATTTTAAAAAATACGCCAAAATCTGAAAAATACCCAAGGCTATAGCTCATGCTTTTTTCCAAAAAATGGCTAAAATTTGACCCCCAATTTTTATGAAATTTTCTGATACATATTGATGTTCTTATGCTGCGTAGAAAGTTTAAGCCGATTTTGACTTCAATTTTTCAAGTTACAGCCATTTTAAAAAATACGCCAAAATCTGAAAAATACCCAAGGCTATAGCCCATGCTTTTTTCCAAAAAATGGCTAAAATTTGATCCCCAATTTTTATTACATTTTCTGGTACATATTGATGTTCTTATGCTGTGTAGAAAGTTTGAGCCGATTCTGACTTCAATTTTTCAAGTTACGACCATTTTAAGAAATTTGCCAAAATCTGAAAAATACATGCTTTGTGCTAAAATTTGTACTAATTTCGATGAGTCTAAAAGTCTTTTCACTAAATGTAATAATATCTCACACTAAAAATAACATAATAAAATATATAATATTCTTTGTTACTAAAAATAGCCTAGGGCAAAGTTGTTAATTATTTCGGGGGCGGCCGAATCAAATCCAACAATATCAAGCATTCCTGGATCATTCGGATCAGCTATTGAGAATTTATTTGATGCCATTCCACAGACAATCAGCTTAGCATCAATACCTGTGGCCTATTAAGAGAGAATAATAATATTTATGACAATATAATATAAATGATAATCATTTATTATTACTTTTCTGTAGTTCTTTAACGCTTCAGTTGGATGTATTTTGCCAAACCATGTCTCGCTGTCTGTGTAAACTATAAAAACGTCAATTTTTAATTTCTTTTGTTTGGCGTATATCATAGGCAGTGCACAGTCTGTTCCTCCCATTGGGATCTGAAATAGAAAAAAATTAGCATGATTACCCATTAAAATTTGTGATAATTACCCTTGATATGGCAGTTGTGGCCTCATCGAGATTCATGGAAGGTTTTATAGGGACTTTGACAAGCTTGTCCGAGAAACCCATCAACTCGTAATTACGCTCGACCCGAGCTAAAAATATTTTTTTTTTAATTTTAGAAATAGTTTGGTTGCTTACCAGTGACCATCGCCATTGCTGCTGATGCATCACGACAGGAAATAACTCGAGACCCCATCACGGGACATGTCATTGACCCACTGACGTCCAGGGCAAGCAAAAACCTTTTACCGGTTGGCTCAACAAACTGAGAAAGAAGGATAGAGAGAGAGAGAGAGAGGTTGTATCAATTAAGTTTTAAGGATAGAGAGAGGCATTTAAGTTTCAATTTACTTTAAAGGAGAGGTAGAATGCCTCATTGAGGGCTGAGGTGATGTTCTTATCAACGTCCCATTTCAGTTTTCCCCTGTCCCCATGTCCTTGTGCATACGTCTTCAAAGCCAGCAGGATGTTAAATGGATGTATTCGTGCTTTTTGAAGCAGTGTTGCATCCCTTAGACGTGAGCAAACGTTTTTTAGGTGATCGGACCGAGGGGCCAAGAGACCGATGCTCGACATCTTGCCAAGGTTACGTATCATGGCAGTCATTGGCATACCATTCAACAGGGCAGCCCAAACCTGGTGAATAAAGAAAAGTAATATTGATTGCATTATTATATAGTTTTTATCTTCCTCTCAATTTCTTAGATTATCACTCTATTATAAAGTGGCATTTTGCTAAATAGATATAATTAGCTGATCTGAAAAAGCCTAAAAGGTACTAATTTATTGTTACTATTCATTTTATTTAATAGAATTGTTGGATACTAGTCTTATTTATTGCATTGCTAACTCTTGAACAGTGTACAAATGACATTGCTAGATAAACTGCAGGAATTTTCTTTTGCTTTCAAGTAGACACTTACCAACTGTGAGTTGAGATGTATCGATGGTACATGCTCCCTCACTAGCCCTTTCTCAGTAATGAGTTGCACCAGGTACCTCTCATCACAGCTTTTTGCTGTCTCAACTGCCAGCAAAAAAGACATGAGCTCATCAATATGAACATCATCAGTTGACCCAAACTCTTTATTGCACTCATCGTAACCTTTAACAATGTATTTAAGAACGCATGCCAACCCTGGAGCTTCTGCTTTCAAATGGCAAAGTCGCAAGAGGTCACGATGCGACCAGCCATCCCTCTGCTGGTATTTTGTGACAGCCATTGCTAGAGATTTGGGGCTCTTAGTCAAGTACCAGTTCTGTATAGCGCGGCGATGAGCTCGCCCCCATCCAGACCCGGCACTCATTGCTTCTGCGAAAGAGACAAATGTGAACAAATGCGTTGGTATGCGACAGATTGAGTTGAGAGCATCGTAAGCTGCCTTTTTGGTCTCTGGGTCGTCGTCTCTCGCGCATAATGCCAAAGCAAACAAGATGGGGTCCTGCTTTGGGGTTCTACCGTCCAAACTGAACCTCAGTATCTCTTTAACGACCTCAGGGCCGTTTCCAGACTTAATTAAGCGGAGTATGGCCTCGGCATTCTCCTTGCCGAGCTTCTTCTCGCTTGTGTAGTACGTGCCGCCCTCGGAACCGAGAACAAGAAAACGCCTGAGCCTTGTAAAGTCGTTTACAGCAAAAGAGTAGCCCCCGGCACTGTTTGGTACCTGCCCGGGCAGGGGAGCTGTCTGGGGAACTGTCTTGGGATCTTCTTCTACCTCCATATATTCAGCCATTATTCTCCGGACCTTCTCGAAGCTACAGGACTAAGAGAAGAGTCAAAATGAAGAGAAAGTGCACTGTCACTTTAGAATTTATGCCAACACAGGAATTTCACTTCTTGGTGCAATTGCCCAGCCACACCCATCCTTGCGAGCTCCACCTTTCAATTACGTGGGCGGCTCGTTGTCATGGAAACTAGACTCGCATAATTAATAATGGCCGCCGAGAGGGATGGCGCGGTTTCTTTGGTTCCGATTCCTTGTGTATCAATAAATGAACTTATGGAACTTAAAACTGGGGCACTCTTAAAGAAAGAAGAGTAAGCCAATAAATTTTTGATGTAGAATTATTTTGGAAAATTTAGCATTCCACCAAAAAGCAGTAAAAGGGCTAAAAAGTAAACTGTTTTTTTATTAATGAGCTTTTAAAATTTATTATATTGTAATGAATTTTGTAGAAGGACTACACCTGTTGGAAGAATGACTGCACCTACTGCTCATGAAAGGGAGAAAATTTTAAAAGAAAGTAAAATGAGAAATGCTAAACCTACTACTACACTTCATTTCACTACTTTTAAATTCAAAGTAATAGATATCCCAGTATTCAACCTTTTGTGATGATCTATATATAATTTATTTTAAGGTTCAACCAACTGTAATGCCAAGATTTAATCCTCCATCCACTGCACCAGGCAGTGCAGGTACATGTACATGTACATTTATATTGGAGGCGGATTCCCATTAGAAAGAGCAACTTACTTAGTCTTTTTGTGAGATCTCTGCTTTATCCCGCGAAAAATGGCTTATTAATATCCTTATAAACATGTCATATTTGTCTTATAGGAAAATTTCCACTCTATCCGTCATCATCACCGTCAAGGTATGCCCCAAGCATCTTCTCTCCTCTCCACCGAAAAAGTATAGCAAAATCTCGAGAGCTTGGCACAACTTCCTCCGAAACAAAGAAAGAAATCCTCACCATTGAAGCAGTTTCAGTCTCGGCTGAAGAAGAGGCAGAGAGATTCGTTGCTGCTGCAAGTGCTCCTCAACATACTACAGAAGAAGTTATTGAAATGCTTGAAAAAGACTTAGATAGAAAGGAGGAGAGTGCTCATAATTCTGAAGCTACATGTACATGTACATGTATGAGAGATGAGGAAGCAGAGGAAGAATTTGCAGATGAACTTGACGATGTTGTGCCACCACTTCAAGATGAAGCGTCTGAGCATACCCTAGCTCAAAGAAAGTGGACACTTCACCGTCGATCTACTCTGTGTATTGATGATGAAGTGGTGAACTTCAGTGCAGATATTGATAAGAAGACAAAAGCCATTTTAAATAAATGCAGAGGTGGATTAAAAAATAGTCTCATATTTATTTTACAGTACATGTACATGTATACATGCAAAGGTGAAATGAAAATTGATGAGCTGGAGCACATTCCTTCTTGGATGAAAAACGAATATGAAGACATGGTACTTGAGCTTGATGCTATTACTTACTATGTGCATAGGCAGGTTAGCTGCACGAGTTAATAATTGTATGTTGTATATTTTACAAATAGGCAGAGAGAAGTCTTCAGCACTATACACCAAAATCAGTTGTGGTACATGATGAGATGAAGCACTTTTATCCATTGTGTATTCCATGTACATGTGCTTTCTTTCTCTTTTTGTAGCTAATTTCTTCTACAGTTCCTAAATCACGTCAGTTGCTCTTAGCTCTAAAGCCAGGAGTCCTTGGCCTCATTTATGTAATGAAAATTAATTATTGTTTCTTAAAGTACATGTACATGCTTTTCTTTCATTGTAGGATGTTGCTACTGAGACGTATGAAACACTCTTAAGTTAGCATTACAACTTGAAAAAGATTTTATTTCTATTATAATTTGTAAATAGCTAAATTGAAAGCACTGCTCAACAGTTACATGGTTGGTGCCAAAGCGAGACGTCTTGTATTTGTTTGCAAAGTACAGTTTGATTTTAAAAGTTTCTTTTTTATAATTATTTTTATCATGCATTTAGGGTGGGCCTGGCTATTTCTACATTTTGAAGTCGAATCCCATCACACCTGTCAAGCTATTGGCTGACATCAATTTACTGAGGTGGGGGAAATTTTGACATTGTATATTTATACATGTATGTATAGAAACTAAAAATTCTCACCTTTTCATTTTTGGTGAAAGTTGGCCAAAGATTGTGTACTATAGCACAGGGACTTTTGAGCAATGTTAAAAATTTGTAAAAAATTAAAATGTGATTGAAATCAGCTCAGATTTTTATGCAACATAAGTACATGTACAAGTATCAAAATAAGCTATAAAAGTGAGGAATTTGCACCTTTTCTTTTTTTGGTAAAATTTAGGTCGGACCCTGTGAGACTTTGGTCCAATATTTAAGCAACTTTAAATGTATTTTGTAAAAAAATCATAGTTGATAGGAATTGGCTCAAACTTTCTATGGAACATAAGAGCATGTATGCAATGTGCAGTTTATGTTAAAATAATACATATTCTCTACCATGCCAAATTTAAAGAACCAATCAGAATGCAGAATACCAGGTTTCTAAATCTATTAGAAACTTGGCGGACATAGAGGTGGGGGCAATCAGCAGCTGGTTGTTGTTTTGATAGAAGGTTGGTTATGCACCTCCTCCGTATCCGGTTTCTATGGTATTTATTAACCTCACTCGGCACTCTCTACGCTTAAGCTCTTTTTAGTCCATTTGTCGAGCTTGGTTGCCTAGCCTGTTAGATTATGTTGTACGTATGTCAACTGTGGTCTTATTATCTGCAGCTGGTAGTTGTTTTTCAAATGTCATGGTAGCTAGAAGTTGGTTATACACCTCGGTATCCGTTTCTATGGCATTTATTAACCAGGCTCATTAGGCTAATAAATACCATAGTCCGTGTATGACCTGTACGACCTATACTTAATTGTAATAGATTCTGGAAAGGTGTTGGTAGCAATATGAGCAAGATTTACATAAATCCATCAGTTGTGCATCTCATGGAGTGCAACGTGAATGGAAACTCCCAAGGAGAAGAAGTAAGTATCACTAGATTGTAAATGCATATATATACATGTGTATCTACAGTACTTGTACATGTACATATCTGTATATTGCAGCTATTGAGCAATCTAGAGTCCACTATGTTCTGTCACAAAGTAAAAGTTGAATCGCCGCTTGAATTAGAGCCCAAAGGTACTAAAGTCTCGAAACTTTATGAGCTCATGTGTTATTATTAGGGAGGGATATGATTTCTGCTTATTTTGTTCCCGAGAAGTTTAAAACGTGGAAGTCTCGCCGTTATTCGAAAGTGCAGCTATACAAATAAGAGTTTTATAACGCTTTTAAAGTTTCATAAACACAATTACATGTACAATGTAAATAAAAATATTTTGTTTTTGTTTTCGGAGATAGCTTTTTGTGCGAATGGCTGCTAATCACTATCAAAGAAGCAGCTTCCTCTTCCTTTGTCGCTGATTGTCACCCTTAACTGCTGAGCAATTTATATTTCCCACCTCAATCCCTCCCCCATCACCTTATATGGAAGTAACTGGATGGAGGAGACTTCTGATGCTACTACTTGCTGTCTTGTCCTGGACAAAAGCTGGTTAGAAGAAGTACCAAAGATAACTTGCAAGGAGCTGCAGGAAACGGCAAAACTCTTACCTGGGTAGATATTTTTAGCATCATTAATCATTTTTTAATATTTTTTACCAGGTTGATAAACACTGAGAAAAAAGAAGGTGAAATGACTGAGGAAGAAAATAGGTTAGCTAGAGTCATAATTATTGCATAGTATTAATGCTTCCTGTTTATGCACTATAGATCAAGCCCTCTGGCCAGCTCTGGCAGCAGTACACAGCTAAACCCCAGGCCATCACTAGTCAGTCCAGATGATGATCAAGGAATTGAATTGATTGCAGACTTAAGCATAAGAAAGAAATCAATGAGCAAGAACAAGCCTCCACAAGGTGTGCCTTTGGTGCCATATGTTTTCTGTGCAGAGGTTATCCCTCAGCATCCATGCATTGTACAGCAGTATCCCCAACATCACGGGCTTGTTCCTGACATGTCAATTAAAGGTATCAGCTGCTTTAATAAGGCACCCAATCCTTCTGGATTCTCTCATTCTCCAAACCCATTGGTTAGCAATAGGCTAGCAATGCCCTCATCTGATAGAAGGAGCTCAATACCAAAGCTGCCCCAAATAACAGCTTCACCTAAACCCCTCACTCAACCCAGCAGACCTCATCATTATTCCGACAATCCGGTGCGTTGCTCGGCTCGCTTGGTTTCATCAAACAGCCATAAAAAACCAGAGGTCCCACTTCCGTTGCAGAATGTTCGTCAGCAACATCAAAAGCCTTTACAAGACACAAGCAGGGCCATGCATCCCTCGGGAATGGTACATGGAGCATTTCCTTGTAGAAGGAAGCAAATCACTCATCCTGGTTATGCAAAGAGAAATGCATTGCCTGTTGATTCTACTCGACCTGTGGTATCTTATAGAGCAACGGCAACACCTGTACATCCTGAACCTCACTTCTATATTAATCCACAGCCTCAAGTTGCTAACCCACGTGGTTATGCAAAGAGAAATGCGTTGCCTGTTGATTCTACTCCACCTGTGGTATCTTATAGAGCAACGGCAACACCTGTACATCCTGAACCTCGCTCCTATATTAATCCACAGCCTCAAGTTGCTAACCCACCTGGTTATGCAAAGAGAAATGCGTTGCCTGTTGATTCTACTCCACCTGTGGTATCTTATAGAGCAACGGCAACACCTGTACATCCTGAACCTCGCTCCTATATTAATCCACAGCCTCAAGTTGCTAACCCACAGCCTCAAGTTGCTAACCCACGGCCTCAAGTTGCTAACCCACGGCCTCAAGTTGCTAACCCACGGCCTCAAGTTGCTAACCCACTAAAACCTACTAATGTACATGTAAAAGCACCTTTTGATTATTTGCAAAAAACGTCAAGGAAAATACTGCTACGCCGACCAGCGAAACCAACCAAGGAGATTGAACCAGTTGAAGAACAAAGCCATGCTCTTATTGAGGAAGAAAGCACTCCTGCAGAGAAAGAAGAGAGAATTAAAAAGATAGTACGCAGGGCAACTTTCCTTCACCTTAATGAGACCGATGAGAAGGCAAATTACCTTGTTGACTTCACACATGTAAACCTGGATCCAAGAACAAGAGAAATAATCAACAAATTCAGAGGTTTATCATTTCATTGATGATCCATTTCTAAATAAGCGTAATACCAAATAATTTAGGTAGTGTCATTTGCAAGCTTGACAATCTAACGGATGAAATAAGAGAAGACTATGAAAAGTTCCTAGATGATATGGATGCTATCCATTACTATAGAAGAAGACAAGTATAAAAATAATTTAAGTTTGCATCCTATAAGACTACTATTGTAATAATAGGCTGAACAAGTGCTAAAGGATTACTCACCAAGATCACTGCTGGTATAAATGCCATAACTTTGTCTTTACATGAATGACAAGTTTTTAGGCTATATCTTCTGCAATGCCAAACATAGAATTGCTCCAAGCAGCTATTAAGCCTGAAGTCCTCACTCTAGTTTATGTAAGAGGACAATTTTTGCTAATATTTTGCATTTGGTGTCATTATTGTTGTAGGATTTTAAAATGGATTCTTATGTCTCCCTGTATAGTAAGTACATGTACATATAAACACGTTTTGTATAAGAGGAAGTGTTTATGATGGAACAAACAAACCTTTTTAGGGAAAATGAAGGAGCTGCTTGATGACTACATGGACGGTGCTAAAGCAAAGTCCATTGGATTTGTATGCAAAGTAAGGAATTATAAATTAAAAAAAAGACTTTCTATTCTTATTGTAGGGTGCACCTGGATATATGTATTTATTGCATGGGAAGCCAATCACTCCAGCAAAGCTACTGAAAGATATTGACCTGCTGAAGTTAGTTTACTGCAGTCCATGTACATCTCCATGCAGTACATACTGCATGTACATACATGTCCATGTACATACATGTCCATGTACATACTGCATGTACATACTGCAGTCATGCAGCATGTACATACTGCATGTACATACTGCAGTCCATGTACATACTGCATGTACATACTGCAGTCATGCAGCATGTACATACTGCATGTACATACTGCAGTTCATGTACATGTATATCAAACTAATTTTAGAAATTTCCTCTTTAGTTTTGCAAAAACATGTACACTTATGTATACATGTACATGTAATTGTATACATGTACATGTAATTGTATACATGTAGGTTCTGGAAAGAGATAGGTTCCTTAACGAGTAAAATATCAATTGGTAATCTTTCAGTAGTGCATCTAATGGAAAGCAATGTTGCTGGAAACCCACAAGGAGTTGAAGTATGTTATATTGCACTTTTTACTAATAATTATTGACACATTTAAACATGCATGTACTAACATACCGAAACCATAGACCCTGGACTAGGTGTCAGACCGTTGTACCATATAGGGGGTATAGTTCCCAGGGAAAATATTTCACGAAAATCACCTTTCAACCTATTCACAAAATTTTTTTTTGCATTTTTCTTCTACTGACTATTATCATTGCTATTATGAGTATGATGAAAAATAATTTTTATAGATAAAAAATGTCACAAATTTTTTAAAACTGTCAAATTAGCGAAATTAAAATCCCTGTGAAATATACCCCCTACTGTATATGGTATTTTCTCTATTTTTCATAGCTTTTGAGTAATTTTGAAGCTGCTATGTTTACAAATAGAGTGAAAGTGGTTTCTCCACATGAGTTAGAGCCAAAAGGTAAGTTAAACTCTTACCTTTGCAATTGTTAATGTGTCTATTCTTGAAAAGGACGTGAAATGATTCAAACTTATTTTTTCCCGGAGAAATTCAAGATGTGGAAAATGAAAAGAAATTCCATACTGAGATTGTATCCATACTGAGATTGTATCCTGTTAAAGACTAATCAATGCACTTTCTTCATCAAGAACAATAATATTAATGTGAATAATAATTAATGTACACTGTAAATAATGGGAATAATAATTAATTTACACTGTAAATAATAATTATTAATGTGTTGTTAATGTGAATAATGTATCAAATAATTTATCAAAATAATAAATGATGTTGTTGAAATTAACAAAAAAACACACAAGTGCCAAGAGGATTAGGTGGGAGTGTTTGATGTGGTCGTATTGTGTAGAGCTGGTTTTAATATCAGACTCCTTAGATAAGCTAAGAAGGACTGAACTGCTGTCTTGTTCTTAGGCAGTGGCATTACCTAAAATACATATGGGTACTAGCATGTTTTTCTACTTTATAATTAGCAGCAGGCGGGAGCTTCTCTCATTCTCTCTTTTCCTCACCCTGTCAATAGTGTGCACGTGTATTTGACCTGTCTTGTTTACTTTGAAAGTTGAAAATGCATCCAGCAATATCCTAAAGCACAAACAAATTATTACACTAGAAAGTCCTGATCAAAGCCATAATGACAGTGTACTGATAATGTTGTCACAAAACACACAGAGTAGTTTAGAAATACTTCGAGTCCTGTGAGAAACCTCGTGGCACTCCCTTTATTCTCCATCGTGCTTCTATCTTGCTCTCTTCGGGGTTTTTCGTTATCTTCAAAAGTTCCAGGGTAGCATTACTGTACAAGCAACAGGTTAGCCATTTTAATGATCCTAAGCATAATCTGTAGTTGGTGAGACCTCTATAAAAATTATTAAAGAGAATGGTGGAAATGAGTGGCTTCAAAAATTACCTCACCGATAGGTTAAATCTTATGAAGTTATTTTCAAATAAAACATTGCTGTCGTAGAGAAGTCTATAACTGTGATCGCTTGATAAAAACTGGGGCAACTAACAATATCAATAGTGTTAATGTTAATTTCATGTCCCTCTTACCTCTTCTCTTAGTTTAAATAGTATGTAAGATAATTGTCCAATGTCCGCCCGATTGTCAGTCACTTTGAGAACCTTGCGGTCTTTTTTTGATGAATCAAGCTTTAAATTTTCCATTAAATATACATTCTTCGTTTTGTAATGTTTTACAGATCGGGGTGTGGTCAAAGTGGGAGTGGCACTTCTCTTTCTTTTCGTAGCCAAAACTGTGCTCGTTTCTGGATTCATGAATCCCCACCCATTCCAAGATTGAATGATAGGGCTACTAAAGTATATAAATGGAGGCTCAGAGCCACTGGTGGTTGTTGAGGCCGAACACTTAGAATAGAAACGGCCAGCAATGGAGTTTGCAATACGAGGAAATGATGGCCTCAATAGCTGCCGACGAAGCATGCAAAGAGGACCTAGCTGAGTCCCACAATGGCTGCAACAAGAAGAGAGGTGTCCTACGATAAAAAATATAAGTATTGTTACAGGTTATTACTGTAATCTTACCCACGACAGACATTATATCCGTATACCTAATGAAATCTCCGGATTCTATTTAAAAATACGGAGTCTTAACTTTAATAAGTGGTTATTAAAGATAAAATGGCTACCTACAGCCTTCCTTCTTCACTCTCTTCCTCCTCCTCTTCTTCCGATAAAGACAATCCTTCAACCAGTGGGGCTGTCTCAGAAAGTGATCCTAATCGCCAGCCTCAGGCAAAGAAAAAGAAATACTTCAGCAGAGAGCTAAGATATATGATGCATGGCTTTGGAGATGATCCAGTCCCTTATAGCGAAACTGTGTCTATGCTTGACGACATGGTAGTCCATTTCATAACAGAGATGACATCAAATGCTTTAGAAGTCGGTAAAAAGGGAAAGATACATGTTGAAGACATACTCTATTTGACGCGTAGAGACCCCAAAAAGTATTCTCGTATCAAGGAACTCCTCCAGATGAACGAAGAGCTCAAACAAGCGAAAAAGTATTTTGAGAACACGCAAGAGGACATTTAGCAAAACTACATATACAACATTCAAATCTCAGTATTAATAATAATAAAATTATTTATAAGTATTATTATAATTATGAATTTGAAAGTATTGCATCAACATCTACATTGAGTTTATCTTTATCAATGACAGACGGGCTTTCTAAGCTATTTCCCGCCCCCTCTTTGCTGCTTTTCCTGCCCCTTTGCTTCTTAGAGTCAGTAATAGGAGGAAGTGTTCCCACTAATGGTACGATTGGTTTCGACTCAGTCCATCCATGGCTTAACTTCCCTTGCTTAGTTCTTGTGCTTAATAATTGTTTTGATGAAGATTTTACAGTCACTACTTTCTCCTTCGACATTGTATTGATCTCGAGTGCAAATTCTTCTAATCTCTCATCATTGTGTACAGGGTCTTCTATCGGTTCTTCAACAACCCACGAGTCTTTTTTAGCTTTTTCAAGCTGCACTATTTCATCTCCAGGTTCTTCGACATACTCTATGGGTGTCACAGGTGGCAATAGGTGCTTGCTTAGTGGTCTTGGTAATGGAGAGTATCTTTTATTTGAGGTTGATCCTGTCATGGCTGATGCTGATCTGAATGAAAAGTGATAAGTGTTGATGGCTGAAAAAGAACGCCTCCCGTGGATTATAGACTTATCCAATGGACCTGTTGCAATTAATGCACATACTGCAAGTTATCACTTAATTAAAATTAATGCATACCACTAAAATGTCTTGAGGCTGGTCTATTGACAGGAGCTGTGAGAGATCGCTGCATTTGAGAATTTCTTTTCGGTTTGACTAAAAATACAATAAAAAAAAAACAAAACAATGAATGAACTTCTGCTTCTTTCATATCCCTCCTGAATTAGGATCCTCTAACCTGAAACTATTCCGAGACAAGCTTGAGATGTGAGCTGAGGGTCGGACTGAAGACCCAGTGGACGCAGCCTATTGCGAAATGAATCCAATCCATTAATGACATTGACAATATCAATCCACAATATCAAACAAACCTTCCACTTTTCAGTTTCCCCCTGCATCTAGTGAACATGGTCCCGCCTGATGAAAGTGTTTCGAGTGATGACGACTCTTTGTCGATCGGCGATGCAAAGTTTGCTTTGAAGAATGAGTGATACTGAGAGAGTCCTATGGTAGTGCTTAGCTCAAGCATCTTCCCTGGGTGAACTGAAGATACCTAGAGTGTAACATGCAATTTAAGATAAACATACATATTTTTGCATCTATTTTTCCATAGAGTATTGTGTATACAAATGCTGTTTATCACCTTGGGTGGGGCTGGAGGTAGTGGAAAACGGTCATTCTGTTGTGATGAGTGTCTTTGGACGGCTGAGTTAGGAGGTACTTTAATCGTAGAGGTACTAGTCTGGACTGTGCTCTCTGCTAAAATGAGAAAAGTCTTTAAAAACAGCAAGAAAAGAGGTTTAGGCTCACCTTCAGTCATTTTGCAGCCACGCCCAAAAAAAACGTACACCCACGGATGACCACGCCTACTTAATGACCATCTTATTGCGCATGCGCAGTTGACACAAGCGGGTCCATAATAAACCACGCCTACATTTAAAAATGGCTGCCAGCACCAAACTGGCAATAAGTTTAACTCACGTTGAATACACTGAAGGTGAAACCTCCTTTTTACTAGTATGTAATTATTAGTATCATTTGCAGGAGACAGAGTGGGATATTTGCTTGCCTGGAGCAGCCTCTTTCCAATCTTCATTCTCATCTCTTTTCTGACCCTGGTCGCGATCAGACGTGACCTTTTTACCGTAAGAGAGAAGGGGAGAGAATGGAGTATATAAACGTTCAAAGGGGGGCAGCGATAGCGTAATTAAGCAACGATTATTAATTGAGAGCTCCGCCTAGCTTTCATTGTTGTGTCAAAAATTAATCTGACCTAAAATTAGGTTTTCTTTTTTACTGGTCTTCTATTGAATGAGAGTCTTAATATGTTCCTCAAGTATACCATAAAAGAACCAAGACCAAATTCCGGTAATTAGAAAATTAGAAAGCTTGAAAATTAATTTCAAATATTTGTTTTAGATATATCGAGTGCTGTTCTTAGGGTGGAGTATGGAATGCCTTCAAGCCACGCCCAGTTCATGGCATTTTTTGCAACTTTCGTCACTTTGCTTCTTTTTGTGAGGTAATTAAACTCACCTCTCTCTTCATTTATATACAAAATGTACATTTTATATGTAAGTGAGTGTGTATATAATATTATGCGTCTTCTTATGTAGAGCCACACTCTCAGAAGATATTAAGGACCTCCTGTATAAAGTCATTGTCTCTGTGGGAGCTTGGGGTGGGGCTATTCTATGCGCCATTAGTAGGTAAATTATTATTAATTATTATTTATTGTTATTATTGTTTTGTTGAAGGGTTTATTTAGGTTATCATACAATTTCGCAGACCATCTATGGCAATTTAGTTGGAGTTTTGTCAGCTTTAATTTGGTTCTCTATAGTACATGTATGTGTTACATATATATTTACTTTTCTTGTATCACTTCTTTCTTCCTTCCCTTCTAGTTTCTTGTTACTCCATATTTTCCTAAAATTTATTACTGGTAAATAATAATGATGATGATATCATTATAGATTATGCTTATGTTAAACTTTTGTTAGGAGATTAAACGATTTTTTAATGTTTAAAGACTTCTCTTTGATCCCAAACTGTCTCTGGTATGAGTACACAGCAGTGAGACATGAATCAAGGTTAGTCAGTGGAGAGGGAAGAGGGTCGTGCTAGTTTTTAATTCAATTTTTAGGACGAGACTAAAACGGAAGAGCATGCACGAGTAATGAACTGCTATCTTGTTATAAAAATCTATTTTTTATAATATTTACGATCAATTTTACATCAAATCTTACTCTGGGGCATCCAAACACGTCTTAACTGTATTCGAAAGAAATTGATCTTGCTATATTGTTTCGGTAGAATTGCGCTTTCAAGTTGTTTTCTAGTACTACTTTGGCACCTGGGTAGCCAAAGTTTGTAGCGTGACATTGGCTCCTGATAAAACTACTATAGAAATCACTAGTATTTGCTGCGCTAAAAATAGAATCAACACTTGTTTCTAAAAATAAAACTATATTTGCCATTCATAGCTACACTATTATGGTCATACCTTTTGCTTTTAACAATGCAAGTTGAGTTGGCTCACTTTTCTGAAAGCTCAGCAAAAATTAATATGTGACCCATGGCATCACAGATACTATGGTTGCTTGTCAAGTTCAATTAACTAGAAGTAAAATCCATCTCCCTATACAAGCTCTTACAAATGTGGAGTCATGGCTACCTTCCCTTTATAGTTTTCTATGTGACAGTGACATGTATAATTTATGATAATGTTGTTTCATGTACTTGTATTTGGATGCAGTAAATCATCACTGTTAGATCTAGAGGGAGTTTAGGAGACTTTTTGTTTCACATATTTGATATGCGTCTCCTGAGTTCTCCCATTTCTTAGCTTATGGCCTTTCAAGTTTAGGCTAGATCTTCCATTTTTGGTTAGATTGGTCTCCCAAGATTTATCTTACATCATCATGTTAATGAAGTTTTGTCAACAAATTTACATTTACTCATATCTTCTAAAATTTTACCGATTCATATAGTCTGCATGCAGTTACGTGACACTTAGTCTGTTATTTTGATGAAATTGAAATTTATTTAATTAATTGAAGCAGCAAGAATTAATTATTATTATAATATTACAAAATTATTTACAGCTGAAATTGCTTCAAGTGTTTATTTTACTGTGTCACTTAAAACTGAGTGAGACAGTAGTAATACTCGTAAGTATCAGCATTCTTAACTGCTTTATCAGGATCATCTTTGGCCAGTTGCTTATTAGCAGATGCTCCATAAGTATAATCGTCAGTATATCCAAAAGCGTGAGACCATTCGTGAGCAAGGATACCTTCTTTAGTAGGATCACCATTACTCTTACAATAGACCTGATAGTTGTTATATGCTTGACACAGGTAGACCTTAGTGCCTCCTTTGTAAGTGTATGCATTCCAGTTGGATTGACAGTTGGAAGGCTCAATGACGTAAGTCACGGTCTTGCTAGTTAGCCCATCCACGCAATCCTGGCAGACCTTTTTCACTTTAGTAGCACGTGCATCAGTATATGTACCAAACCAAGTCTTGTAGAAGTCACTATTACTCACGTTATTCTTAGCATCACCATATTCTTTGCAGAGTTTCTTGTGGGCATTGAGGATATCGGTTCGCTTACTCGAAGTACCTCCCGTGAAACTAGCAGTAGTGCAGGACTCAATAGTGACAGAACCTTCGGACTCAACTTCATCTTGAGATGGAAGGGAGAGATAGCGAGCATTCTCCAATTGTATGTAGGCAGCTGCTTTAGCATTCACCTCTATTGGCATTTGCATCTCATTGAGTACTATCAGTGGCCTGATGTACTCAACAGTATAGCGACCATCATTGATTAAAGTGAATGCTTCATTGATGCGAACTGTTGCAGAAACCTTTTGACCTGCCTTGAGGAGGATATACTCATCCTTTGTTGGAGGGCGACGATGAATGAAGATTCCTTTGTAATCCAGCCTTCGTAATCCAGCCTTCGTAATCCAGCCTTGTTCTTTGTGATAAACGGCAACGAATTGAGAGAGGAGTCCCTCAAGAGGAGTGTTACGCTTGAGGAGATAGTAATCCTCATCAGCAACATTGAGGAACTCAAAAGTGCAAGCAACATCAGAGAGAGACTGTTCACAAGACATGTCAAGGGACACTGGCCATCCCCTAGTGAGAATATACTGCAATAGAAATTGTTAACAATAAATGCACTTACTTGTCCAGGGCGATGGCATAAGCCACGCAAAAGAGAAGAGACACAAAAGTCTTCATTTCTGTAATGATATATCTTCTCTCTATATCGATTTCAGATGATCTTGAAAGCAATGTGCAGTTAAAGCTCAGTTTCCTCTCAATATATAATATCTCATTGTCTTTGTTTCTTGTATAGAAGAGACAATTGAGCCATTTCTTTTACAAGACATTTCAAGCTACCACGTGGATAGTGACAGCTATCGTAATTTCTATCACCAGCCAATGTCACGCTATAACTCTTGGCTACCTGGGTGTCAAAGTAGTACAGCTACTACTTTTGGCACCTGGATCTATAGTGTGACATTTGCCTGCTAATTTTTTTACTAGTAGATCTATATTTGTTGTGCTAAAGATAGAATCATCACTTTTTTCTAAAAATAAAACCATATTTGCCATTCATAACTACACCCTTATGGTAATACCTTTTGCTTTTAACCATGCAATTTGAGCTGGCTCATTTTTCTGAAAGCTCAGGATAAAATTAATCTGTGAAACATTGGATCATGGTTGCATGTCAAGTTCAAAATTTTTAATTTATGCCAAATTTTAATATAAACTAGATTTATTATTATTATAACTGCTTATTTATTAATTAAAATGGCTATGTGTAACCTAATGGCATCTGAATCTGTTAGTTGATCCTAACTGGCTATATAACCTGTCTAGCTAGACACATTATCTCTTGTCACTATCATTTTCATTCCGGCAGCCCCAGCTAGTATTTGAAGAACTTCTGAATGCCCACATTAGTGACATTACTACCTATCACTATATTATTTTATTTAGTCCAGCCAGTACCAATTCATACAGTAACAGTCTACATGTAGTTATGTAACACTTTGTCTATTATTTTGATGAAATTGAAATTTATTTAATTAATTGAAGCAGCAAGAATTGATTAATTATTATATATTATATAACAAAGTTATTTACAGCTGAAATTGCTTCAAGTGTTTGTGTACTGTGTCACTAAAACTGAGAGAGACAGTACCAATACTCGTAAGTATCAGCATTATTAACTGCTTTATCAGGATTACTTTTGGCAAGGGCCTTATTAGCAGTTGCTCCATAAGCATTATCATCAGTATATCCAAAAGCGTGAGTCCATTCGTGAGCAAGGATACCTTCTTTAGTAGGATCACCATTACTCTTACAATAGACCTGATAGTTGTTATATGCTTGACACAGGTAGACCTTAGTGCCTCCTTTGTAAGTGTATGCATTCCAGTTGGATTGACAGTTGGAAGGCTCAATGACATAGGTCACGGCCTTGTTAGTTAGCCCATTTACGCATTTATCCAAGACGCCTTTCACTTTAGTAGCACGTGCATCAGTGTATGTACCGAACCAAGTCTTGTAGAAGTTATTGTTGCTCACGTTTTTTTTAGAATCAGCATATTCTGTGCAGAGTTTCTTGTGGGCATTGAGGATATCGGTTCGCTTACTTGAAGTACCTCCCGTGAAACTAGCAGTAGTGCAGGACTCAATAGTGACAGAACCTTCAGACTCAACTTCATCTTGAGATGGAAGGGAGAGATAGCGAGCATTCTCCAAGTGCATGTAGGCAGCTGCTTTAGCATTCACCTCTATTGGCATTTGCATCTCATTGAGTACCATCAGTGGCCTGATGTACTCAACAGTATAGCGACCATCATTGATTAAAGTGAATGCTTCATTGATGCGAACTGTTGCAGAAACCTTTTGACCTGCCTTGAGGAGGATATACTCGTCCTTTGTTGGAAGGGTACGATGAATGAAGATTCCTTCGTAATCCAGCCTACGTCCTTTGTGATAAATGGCAACGAATTGAGAGAGGAGTCCCTCAAGAGGAGTGTTACGTTTGAGGAGATAGTAATCCTCATCAGCAACATTGAGGAACTCAAAAGTGCAAGCAACATCAGAGAGAGACTGTTCACAAGACATGTCAAGGGACACTGGCCATCCCCTAGTGAGAATACAGCAATAGAAATTGTTAACAATGAATGTACTTACTTGTCCAGGGCCACGGCACAAGCCACGCAAAAGAGAAGAGACACAAAAGTCTTCATTTCTGTAATGATATATCTTCTCTATATCGATTTCAGATGATCTTGGAAGCATCGCCGTGCTGTGTTTATATAGAAAGTTAGAGCTCAGCTTCCATTCATTATGTTATGTCACTTACTGAGACATTTCAAGCTATCATACTAATCCATAGACAGACAGGTAGACTTTTGACACTTATCATAATTACTTTCAGCAGCTACTACTTTGGCATCTCAGTAACTAAAGTCTATGGCCTGACATTGGCTGCTGATAAAAATTACTAAAGGTGTCACTAGCAGATCTCTACCTGTCTAGCTGTGACTATAGCGCTGATAATATAGATCATCACTGGCTCTACTTTTAAAATATAACATGTAAACTATAACTACCCTATGATGGACATAACCTTTGCTTTTAACTATGCAATTTGAGCTGGCTCACTTTTCTGATTGGAATCAGGATAAAAGCCCATAAAAACAACTTAATGTTTTTAGTTGTGACTGGTTAATAATTTTCAATATTAATTAATCCATTATATTTTAATACTAAAATGGCGATAGGCGAAGAAGTAAAATCCATCTCTCTATACAAGCTCTTACCAACGTGGAGTCATGGCTATATGCTTCCCTTTTTAGTTTTTTACGTGTCTTTGTTCTGTGGTTGGGTGTATTTTTTCGGCAGTTTAATAGAACACAATGAAGGGCTGTTGATATCAGTGGCAGTAATTGGGGCTGTAAACCTGATGACTGCTTTATTTTGCGTCTGGTCCGTTGATGTGAGGTGCCTCTTAACTTGTAAGAAGGTAATTATAATGACTAGTCCTTGCTTTTAATATTTGACTTCATTTTTATATGTACATGTACATGTAGTAGTGCAATGTCCATATGCCATCATTGCCATGTGGGTGTGTGGGTGGGTGGCTACTATAATTACGCCATTTATAGTTCATGAATACTATATTATTAGAAATGGTCATAACTTTAAAAATTTAAGTCGGAATTGGCTCAAACTTTCTACATAGCATAAGGACATCAATATGTATCAGAAAATGTCATAAAAATTGGGGGTCATTTTTAGCCATTTTTCCAAAAAAAAGCATGGGCTATAGCCTTGGGTATTTTTCAGATTTTGGTATATTTTTAAAAATGGCCATAACTTGAAAAATTTAAGTCGGAATCAGCTCAAACTTTCTACATAGCATAAGGACATCAATATGTATCAGAAAATGTAATAAAAATTGGGGGTCATTTTTTAGCCATTTTTTGGAAAAAAGCATGGGCTATAGCCTTGGGTATTTTTCAGATTTTGGCAAATTTCTTAAAATGGCCATAACTTGAAAAATTTAAGTCGGAATCAGCTCAAACTTTCTACATAGCATAGGTACATCAATATGTATCAGAAAATGTAATAGAAATTGGGGGTCATTTTTTAGCCATTTTTTGGAAAAAAGCATGGGCTATAGCTTTGGGTATTTTTCAGATTTTGGCAAATTTCTTAAAATGGCCATAACTTGAAAAATTTAAGTCGGAATCAGCTCAAACTTTCTACATAGCATAAGGACATCAATATGTATCAGAAAATGTAATAAAAATTGGGGGTCATTTTTAAGCCATTTTTTGGAAAAAAGCATGAGCTATTATTCATTAACCAGTTTTAAATAGGTCTACATAGGTAATGACAAACTAAAAACATTAAGTTGTTTTTATGGGCTTTTGTCCTGGTTCCAATCGAAAAAGTGAGCCAGCTCAGATTGCATAGTTAATAGCAAAGGTTATGTCCATCATAGGGTAGTTATAGTTTACATGTTATATTTTAAAAGTAGAGCCAGTGGCAGTGATGTTCTATATTATCAGCGCTATAGTCACAGCTAGACAGGTAGATCTGCTAGTGACACCTTTAGTAATTTCTATCAGCAGCCAATGTCAGGCCATAGACTTTAGCTACTGAAGTGCCAAAGTAGTAGCTGCTGAAAGTAATTATGATAAGTGTCAAAAGTCTACCTGTCTGTCTATGGATTAGTATGATAGCTTGAAATGTCTCAACAAGTGACAGAACATAATGAGTGGAAGCTGAGCTGTAGAAAGTTTGAGCCGATTCCGGCTTAAATTTTTCAAGTCTTGGGTGTTTTTTAGATTTTGTCATAATTTTTTAAATGGCCGTTGGAATTTGCGCAAACTTTCTACACAGCATAAGGACATCAATATGTATCAGAAAATGTCATAAAATTTGGGGGTCATTTTTTAGCCATTATTTGAAAAAAGCATGGACTATAGCCTTGGGTATTTTTCAGATTTTGGTATATTTTTTAAAATGCTCATTAATCAGCTCAAACTTTCTACATACATGTAGCAAAAGGACATCAATAGTTATCAGAAAGCGTATTACAAATTATTCTCAATAGGTTTCATTACAGACTGCATCTCATGTTAAAGTAGTGCCTACCCTAAACAACGGCTCGAAAGAACTTGTTCCCCTCATACGCAGCAACAAGGTACTAATACCCTTTGTTGTCATGGTACTATCAATCATGTGACCCTCGTGTGATCATCCTAGGGTGACGGCAGCACTTCGTACAGTTTCATGTTTCAGAATATAAAGTATGTTTACGAGGAAGGTGAGTTCTCTCCGGTACAGTTTCCGGTCGATTTCGAGGTTGAGTACTACGTCAAGAATAAAGGGATTTCATCCGAAGACAGCATCAAAACTGCGACTGAGAAATACGGACTGAATAAGTATTTTTGATTACATGTAGATAGATATTTATTGATGCTTTGTAGACTTAAAATTGTGTCTCCTGAATTTTGGGAGCTCTTTGCCGAAAGGGCCACTGCTCCATTTTTTGTTTTTCAGGTTTGGAAGTTAAATTTATTAGAGAAATTTATTATTAATTTTTTCTCTCTTTCCCTTTTTAATTTTTATGTCTTCTCTTCTCTTTTTTAGGTTTTCTGTGTCGGCCTGTGGTGTTTGGACGAGTACTGGTACTACAGTCTCTTCACTCTTCTCATGCTGGTACTGTTCGAGTCACTTCTCGTCCAACAGGTTAGAAAAACCCGTCAGTCTGGTGAGATTCTCTCTCTTTAGCAAAAGAGGAATCTTGCAGACATTCAGAAAATGGGATCTGCTCCTTTCAAGATCCTTGTAAGACATCACTTCTATTATTATTATTATTAAAGTTATTGCAGACATATCGACTAGGCCATTGGTCCAAATTAGACTCCGATAAACTGCTCCCCGGGGACATTGTGTCTTTTGGTAAGTCCTTTCCTTTATGGGTGTGTCTCCTATTCATACAGGGCGGAGTCAATCTGGTCAACTCTCCCCGTGTGACTTGTTGCTATTGAAAGGCTCTTGTATCGTTGATGAGTCGATGCTAACTGGTGAATCAGTCCCGCAAATGAAAGTGAGTACAAGAATACACCATACAAGACGATTTATTGGCAAGGAATTAATATTGGCGATTGACGGTTCTACATGTATGAAGAAACCGCTAATATAAAATCTGTCATTTTGTTTCAATCTGAGCATGCTCAATGGCACGTGGCACAAAATCGCCAATATAAATCTGCTAATTTCTTTCCACAGACAAATTCGCCAAATATTACTCCCGCTAATAAATCATCTTGTACAGTACTGTATAGTGCACCTGTACTTGTACATATTTGTATAGTAGGCAATGGGATAAGTGATGGTTGCCAAAAGTGTCAGTTGGTGGCTTTTATAATTAATAATTTTGGAGTTTTGTGTCATTGATGTTGCTTGGAATAAATGAAAAAGTCACCATTACATGTATTACATGTACATGTATTAATATTTGATTTCTAATTTTTATTATTTTTATTATTATTATTATTATTATTATTATTATTATTATTATTATGTTTATACATTGCAGGAGCCAATAGATGTTAATCTTTCTCCCGGAACTACTCTAAATATTGCCCGTGACTCCAAACTCCACATGGTATCAGGAGGTACTCGAGTCGTCCAACACACTCCGCCCGTTAAAAGTGGGGCGGAGCTTAAGTCTCCAGATAATGGCTGTATCGGATTTGTATTACGAACTGGCTTCAATACGTCTCAGGTGGGTGTGGTTTTAACATAGGCGTGGCCTATAATGGGCGTGGTCGTAGGGTAAGCTTCTAAGGACGATGCTGTTTGGCGTAAAGAGAGTCACGGCTAATAACTTAGAGACTTTCATGTTTATCCTCTTCCTCCTCGTCTTTGCTATAGCAGCTTCTGCTTACGTTTGGATAAAAGGTCCTACGAATATTAATTTTAATTTGTTATCAACCATCGCTAACAGGAACAGAGAACCCTGAGAGAAACAGATACAAGTTATTCCTAGAGTGTACTTTAATCCTCACTTCCGTGGTACCTCCTGAACTACCCATTGAATTATCACTGGCTGTTAACACTTCATTGATAGCACTCGCCAAAATTGGTTAATGAATCTCTATTTTTTTTATCTCACTCTCTTCATTTCATTTATTCATATTTTCTTATATTTATATTATTACATTTATATTAATTATTTTATTTGTTTATTTTTATGCTTCATATTTCTTATCTCTCCAGGCATTTATTGTACCGAGCCATTTCGGATACCATTCGGTGGTAAGGTTGACGTATGTTGCTTCGATAAGACGGGGACATTGACCAGTGATAACCTAGTCGTACAAGGAATTGCAGGACTAGACAGGTAGGTACATGTACACATGTACATGTATTTGTATATCTAAGAAAAAATAATGTACATGTACATGCATAATTGCATATATGTGTGTGCAAGATATTTTGTCTATTCTGCTGTATCCTTTATTACCACATGTAAAAGTACATGTACATATACATGCATGTAATGTAATTTTGGTTTAAAAATCTATAGCATGACTCCTGTGACATTTGCTGATGATAAAAGAAGCTACAACGTGGGTCACTACTGTACCTGTCTGTGTATAACTTATCTAGACACATCATCTCTTGTCACTATCATTTTCATTCCGGCAGCCCCAGCTAGTATTTGAAGAACTTCTGAATGCCCAGACTAGCAACATTATTACTTGTCACTATATTACTTTATTGAGTCCAGCCAGTATTTGAAGAGCTTCTGAATGCCCATTACTACTTGTCATTACATTTTCTATTCAGTCCAGCCAGTATTTGATCTCTTTATCAATGAGTGCATTATTTACATGTATATGATCATGTTGCTTCATGTACATGTACATGTATATGATTATGTTTGTATTGTATTTATACATGTACATGTACTTGTCATGTACATGTATTTGACACATGACTTTGTGCTTGATGTACAAGTCATCATTGTTAGATGTAGAGTTGAGGAGACTTCTTGTCTACCATATTTGATCTATGTCTCCTGAATTCTCCCATTTCTTAGCTTATCAGTTTATATTACATGTTTATGAAGTGTTGTTAACAATTCAATTTATAAATCTTCCAATTCATATAGTCCACATGTACATATACTCTGTCTATTTTATGCACTAATTGTGTAATAATGTTCCCATTCTCTCTCTCCCTCCCTCTCTCTCTCTCTCTTTCAGCTCCAGTACAAAGCTAGATCTGGTGGATGCAGCAAATGCTCCACTGATGACACAATGTGTCCTTGGGTCCTGTCATTCTCTCTCATTGCTGGATGGAGAGATTATAGGAGACCCACTAGAGAAGGCAGCAATATTATCCATAGGCTGGAGATTATCAAGAAGTAAGACCTCTCTCCCAAATATCTTACTCTATTCTTTTTTTGAGGTGATTCGGTCAGAGGTTCAAAGTGTTCTCTTAGCATCATTCACCGTTTTCATTTCTCCTCTTCCTTGAAAAGGATGTCAACCGTTTCTTCAATGACACTACCCAACATCACTCACATCTCTTGTGTTAAAGGGGCACCTGAAGTCATCAAGACTATGGTGGGAGAGAGAGAGAGAGAGAGAAGATTAATTTTATTTTGTCACGAATCCTAAAATATTAGTGGGGATTTTTTGGTTCTACACATGCTTAATGTGCGTGGCAGCTGCTAAACTGCCAGCAAATATCTTAATTCCCTCCAAAATTTCTGACTACAAGATTCATTATAACTTAGTTTTACATGCACCTTACTTTCTCTATCCCTCTCTCTTTCTCTCTCTCCTTCCCTCAGTTACGTGAAGTTCCTCTCAATTATGATGATCTTTATCTTAAGTTAGCAAGAAAAGGTGCTAGAGTGTTAGCGCTAGGTTACCGTGATCTTGGTCCTCTCTCGCCTCGTGAAGCAAACTCCCTTAAAAGAGAAGACATAGAGAAGGACCTCACCTTTGCTGGCTTCATAGCCATTTCTTGTCCTCTCAAAAGATATACAAAAGACTGTGTAGAAGAGCTTCAAAAATCATCGCACCATGTAAATGAATGAAGTTTCATGTGACAATAATGTCATTTTATTTTATTTTATTTTTACTTTTTTATTTTCTTATCTCGTGGTTATACAGTAACACTACAGATGTGTGTGTGTGTGTGTGTGTGTGTGTGTGTGTGTGTGTGACTATTTTTCTTTTTGTAGGTAACAATGATCACTGGAGATAATCCACTCACTGCCTGTCATGTAGCTAAAGAGCTTAAGATTACTAAACTGCCAGTCATGATACTCCAGGAGGAAGAAGAGGAGGGGGAAGGGGAGGGAAGGTGGGTGTGGCAGAGTGTGAAAGGTGACGGCAGCGTAGCCTTTGATCCAAATAAGGAAGGAATTAGTAACCTCGTTCAGACTAATGAATTATGTGTGACTGGAAAGGTAATAAGTGTTAGATTGTGTGATACTTTAATTCTTTAGTGTTGATTATGTAATTATCTGTACATGTACATGTGTATCTTTCTTTATTATACGCATGTACTTGTATTTATTTTGTTCTTTTCTCTTCTTAGGCTATTGAATATTTAATGTCTTCAGGTGGTCAGAAGTTACTCTATCAGCTCCTCCCATCAGTTAAAGTCTTTGCTCGCGTTTCTCCGAAGCAGAAAGTGATGATATGATAATATTAATTTTATTTTATTTTTTAATAGGAATTAATTATAAACGTGTACAAAGCGTGCGGTTTTTATACATTAATGTGTGGGGATGGCACTAACGATGTGGGGGCGTTAAAACATGCACATGTTGGTATGGCAAGCGATTCATTAAAGGGCGTGGTTATACGTGTTTATTGATTACATGTAGGTGTTTCACTTTTGTCTACTGTCCGTATCACACCTCAAAATGATGACTCGGCAAAAAAGGACCAGTTGGCTAGACCTTCACTTTCGTCTGTCAGGTGATGCGTTGTGATGTCATGTGACCTCATGTGATGTCATCTGATGTCATTATAGGCAGCGTAAACCTATAGCTGGGAAGGAAGGAGGAACTCAACAGAAAGCTCTGCCTAGAAATGTAGAAGAGTTAATTTTTTGATATACTTTTTGTGTTTTTCTTTAGAAATTGCTACACGACATTTTGATGAAAAGTGAAGAAGGTCTGAAAGATCCATCATTAGTTAGGCTGGGAGACGCTTCCATAGCTTCTCCTTTCACGTCCAGAGAAACAAACATTAGATGCAGTGAGATATTGCAGATATAATACTAACCTACGTGTATGTTGTATTCCTCCCTCTCTTTCTTTCTCTCTCTCTCTCTTTCTCTCTCTCTCTTTCCCTCTCTCTCTCTCTCTCCCCCTCTCTCTCTCTCTCTCTCCCCCTCTCTCTCTCTCTTTCCCTCTCTCTCTCTCTCTCTCTCCCCCCCTCTC